ACACATATGGGGTCTCGCACTATAAGGCAGACTGCCCTGAAAAGAAAACGGACTTTGTGACGAAAGGTATCGAATCGTTCGAACATCAACGAACCCATTTAAGCCGTTTAAGAAACAACGAAAGGAGTTCAGGTTGTTGACATGGTGGAAGCCTACGCTGGTTATGGTCCCACTATGGCAAGTGGTGATCTCTCACTGTGGCTGTCTCATCTAAGGAGTTTGAACGAAACGTCAAAATGATGATATGACCCCGTTCAACTCTCCTCCCGGGGCGAATTATGACCTTGAATTAAACAATGGATTCATATGGACTTTGGGGGAATTAGTTAGGAGGATAAAGCAGTTCCTTCAAACATTAGTACATAAACTCTTCGTCTGAGGAATTGTCTGTAAATGTGCTTGCGCGGAAGGTGCAGCAATTGACGAAGGCAATTGACCGAAATGTAAGTAATGAATGTGCGCATCTATTAACTGAACGGACTATGTCTAGTAACGAATGGGCGCATGATGGCGGCTGCGATTACCACCTGACTGGTCAACTGAACTCATTCTCGCGTATGGTTCTGGACTCTAGTCTTGTTTTTAGATTCGCTGAAGGGTCTAAACTGAAAAATACTCATGTTGGTTCAATTGAGTTGTGGCTTGAACCTCCAGGAGTATAAATAAGTTCAGTTTTGAGAACGTTGAATACCGTAGTGCGTAAATTAAAAGGTTGCCCGGTAGTGTAGGTTGCAAGTGGGATTCTCTGCATCAAATAATACTTTGGAAGCGCCACCCAATTATCACAAATCGGATTTTACTCACCAAGAAATTCCATCAGGACTGCATCTGCTAGAATGTATTCACACTTCGTAGTGTTTGCTTTGAAGGTTTATTGTAGTCTAGAAATTTGCATGCCAATCAATTTCCCACATACCAAGACACAATGGAGGAGGATGTCGGAGACTGGCTGGTTGACGCATCGTCGGACACGGACCAAGGTCCCATGGAGGCGCAAGGCGAAGATGCGCTGTCCGTGTGGTGGTGTCTCGACAAAAGCAAGGTACTCCGTCGATCCTTTATTTGAACATGCTAAGTATAATATATATACATGTGACAATGTACCTCGTATGTGGCTGTGCTCAACAACGGCTTGGGCTTCCAAGTCGCCTCCTTGTCGAACGCGGACCAAGGTCCCGACCAGAATGCAACCCCTGCAGCACACAGAGGAAATCGACACTCCACGTGCGGCTTTGGCGGGTCATTGAATGGTTGACCAATGTTTGGGAGTGCAAGTATATGGATAACGTGATAAGATACCAATGGGGTGTAGACGCGCTGTCGATGCACGATGGCCTTCGATGCACTTCCCAAAATGCAACTCGTCCTTGAATTTCACCGTGTACTAAATAATACTCTCAAGTACTACTCTGTCCCAAATTACCTCCACGTTTCGGTACGCGTTCAGCCACAAAATCATTTTTATTGCGAGAAAGTATTTAAATTTGTCCTAAATCAGACAACTGTACTTCGTGCAGCGACAACATGCGAAAATTCAAGTTGACGAGGTAATTGGCCCAAGCGGGACTTCCCGATATGAGGAATCGAATAATCGTTCCCACCAGCACAAAGCTCTATACACAACATCCACGAGTAGAATACGTTATCTAAAGTTTCAACATTGAGCTCACCAAATGCAGCATTCACATTGTATATGAGCTCATCCGGTGTCCGTGCAAGCAGCCGCTGTTGCAATGACTGAATTGCAATATGTGGCTGACACTCGACAACTAAGGTCAACAATCCCTGCTGCCACAGTACACCAGGCGCCACATGTGCCGAAGCGTTGTCTTGTTGAAGCCTGATGCGTTTGGTGTCGCGAGGCCACTTCGCCACAATTGCCGGAATCAGCTTTTTCATAAGCATATCCCGATACGCAGCACGATCGACATTCACACACTTTGTTTCGAGGGTGCCTGCGGGTCGATTTTTTGACGAACGTGCAGCAGCAACTTGAGTTACAAAAGGCCAAATGCCCAACTTGCCGTCAAAGTGCTGGTTGCTCTGTCGGTCAAATCGAGGCCGCGCCACAGCCGCAAGAACCATGACTTGCCCGATGAATCGCTTGTTTTGTGTTCGTCGCTCGGGAACGTCTTCACTTGGCGTCAGGTAAAATCCACGCGGGCCCTTGCCCATTCAAAACCATTTCTCGTCGACGTGTATGAAATCATCAAATTCGCGAAAAACAGACGGACTGGCGTCGTTCTGAATTACGTTTGAGAGACAAAACGCCACCCGAGAGCTCATGTGTTCCGGGGTGAGGGCCGGCTTGAGGTCAAGTACGACCTCTTGTAGGCGGCGGTTCAGTGTGGATTTTGATATCAACGCGTGGTGCGCAGTGCTTCGGATCGTCCGGCGCAATTGGATGTCCACACCGGCAACAGCGTCCAACACGTCCTCGTTGCGGACCCTTGGGCGACCACAACGACCTTTTTGCTTGTTATGGATAGAGGGAGCGGTCCAGTGTTCTGGTTGTCGATGGGGTGGTTATTCCAAAGAGCAGCGAGCGTTGTGCCATGACAGCCGTACTTGGTCGCAAGGCGCGTCAACGTGCCATGTGGAAGCGTGTTGTACTGGGCGGTTGTCCTCAACTCAACTTGCATGGCCATCTTGGTTGCAGTAGGAATGTCTTCATGGCTTGCGCGTGCCATTGGGAAAATGCACGTCGTGTACCCACATTGGATAATTATATTCTGGAGTTTACATTACCTCCCTATATGAGTATTTTGGCTGGTGCGGACGTGTTCGACCATACATTGTTAAAGTCCGGTGAGTGGTTGAAAATCTGAGGTGAGTGGCAATTTTATTTTGATGATTCTGGGGGGCACACTATACAAAAAGGATGTAATATAAATGCCATTGGGCGACCCACCGAATTCACAGCTTCCCATTGGTTCAAAAATCGTAGCATTTGAGTAAAGGAGACAATTTTCCTGACATGTCAAAGTTGAAACGAGGAGGTAATATGGGACAGAGTAGTAATAAATATCTACACTGCTTCAATCATTTTTTCAACCGCACCGTATACCTTATGGATCAGTACACCCATATCGAGTTGTACCCAAAATACTACTTCCTCTGTTTCGTAAAGGTGGAGACCATTGTGTTTGGGCAAATTTTTATCTTACTATTTGTATATCCGATTCCACAGAAATGTGTATTTTTATTCAAAAAAAGTGTTTACGACGAGATCGGTCATGACCTGCTGCATTGCCAAGTGCCAGCACGAGTCGACATTGAAGCAATCGACACCTTTCAAGGAAGGACATGCACCATGAGTGCCGATGGTGCGCTTGGTGCGGTCCTGGATGAAGCACCTGCTGGAGTTCCTGGCCGGCAGCCAGCACTTCCTCCAGGGCCGCACCATGCTCACCATCAGCAATCGAGGTCCGGGCATTCACCCAACGAGTACTGATGATGCAAACGATACGGCCCTGGAGGAAGCGCCTGCTGGAATCAATGGCCGTCAACTAGCGCTTCCTCGACGGCGGCAACGTTTGCATCATCAATACTCCGTTTGTGCATGTCCCACCATAATGTTCCGGCCGATCAGGCACTCCATCTGCTCGATCAGACGAGCATCATAACCTGTTGCAGGAGTTAGTTGTTGTGGAGTGCGCCGTGTACATCACGTGCACATAGAACGGGTAGCAGGGTGCGTTCTGCGCGCGAAAATGGGAAAACGTTCACGCTCGGGATTCAAATGGCCAGGACACAGGCCACCTCACTTGGTCGTGGTCTTGTTTTTTATGTAACTCCTTCTCCAGCAATGCAAATGCAACGCTGATGTGTGCTAGCGACATCTTGGTAACGAGACGAATCGTTTGCGCTCGCATTCGACTCGATTGGAGGAGAAATGCCTCATCCACGGGTGTTTGTAGATTTGCTGTCATCAACATTTGACTTTGACGAACTGTTGTGAAGCGGTTTAAAGCAATAAAATAAATCTAAAAATAGCTGCTTACTCGTCCTTTCATTGGCTACATTTGAGCCAATTTTCAGACAATTCTGTTGAATTTGGCCATAGAATGGTACTTTTGACCAAAAGGTCTCCACCTTTACAGAACAGAGGAAGTAGTACGATTCCCTCATTAAAACAGTCCCACTGTTGTTTTGACCCGAAATACTGTTTCAATGAGGTTTATATGGAACTTTGTATGCTCAGACCACCTCACCTCTTACTAGGGGTTATGTGCATCTCAGTGGTTAGCGATAGCTAACCACTAGCGATGCAGTTAACGCCGGAGATTTAGCATCGTATGTACTCACCGGGAATAGGACGGAGTCCCAGGTTACAGGGCTACTGGAGAAATGGTGTATCCGGATGTAATAATTCCCTCATTGACAGTGAAACAGTATTTCGGGTCAAAACAACAGTGGAACTGTTTTACTGTTAATGAGGGAATTATTCCAAATTACTGTATGGTGTCAATTTAGAACGATTTGGTGTAATACCTTAGGAGGTTGTACCCAAGTCGATGTATATTACTTAATAGTACTACACCATTTTTCGTTTACTGTGAAGTTCAGGTTATTTCTGGTATATTTCGTCCCTCGCACAACTGATTCACGCCATGTGCGTTTTGTTCCCCAAGCATTCAATATATTTCGTCCAGACCCAACTTCGTTTCATTATATTTCGACTGATCTCCGGTATGTCACCCCACAGCCGGTATATTTCACACCTTGTTCATTATATTTCAAATGATGTTCCATCCATTTCGATAAATCGACGCAGTAATCGACGGAACGAAGTAGCCAATGAAATTTTTGAAAAAAATCTTTCGATCAATCAAATTACAGGTGTATCCGCGAAGCTTCTCCTTTTCACAAAGAGTTCAACGTTGTATCGGACAGGAGTCACAGTGAGTATATTTAGTTCAAGAAAAATGACGCTCGACGATTTCAGGTGGATTTGACGTCGTTCGTCGAATCTACCGAAAATATCAATTTTAGCTCGAAAGCACAATCCTTCATATCTACTCCAGAGTATGATTTAGACAAGTATTCTACCACCTGCGATTTACTTGATTTGCTTCGAAAATCGAAATAGATGGAACATCATTTGAAATATATTGAACAACGTGTGAAATATACCGCCTGGGGGGTGTTACGGCAGTTTGAGAGGTGCATGGGTCGGCTCCACCGTGCATCCAACCCATTCGACTTCCTGCTCTACCACCCACACCATAAGTCGAAGTGGCTCATGCTGTGGGAACTCCATCCACTGTGGATTGATGTGTGGCGAGTGCATATACCGGACACTAGTCGAAATATAATGCAACGAAGTAGGGTCTGGACGAAATATATCGAATGTTCAACGAACATGACGCACATGGCGTGAATCAATTAAAAATATTGAATTTAAATTTTCAAAATAATAATTTCTTTTAAATTTAAATAATGCTTTTATTGAAGATAATGTATTAATATTAAAACTAGGTTACAGTATTTCGGGTCAAAACAACAGTGGACTGTTCTAATGAGGGAATTATACAGGTAGCCGCATTTGTACTACAGTCCACTTCAGCCATTAAGCAGGAACATTCGTTCCTGCTTAATGGCTGAAGTGGACTGTAGTAGAATTCAAGATCACTCGAGCGTTCATGACGATCGAGTGATCTTGAATGTATCCTGCTTCACTCGTGCGTTCACTATTGTCATCGTCGGTTGTGTCATCACCCTTGCAAAACCAACATCAGTACAGAAATGGCCCAACATGATAGCAGCCCAGCCATCGCCCAGCGAGATTGCTGTGGGCGAGTTCAGGGCAATAAAAGGCTCGTGTCCATCGTTCTGAACCAGGCGCACAGCAAAATCGGTGGATGCTGACCGGTTGGCGACGGGCTAGCAATTCGACGTTAACGGTGATGTATTGTAAGCTTGCTACTGGGTCTTTCACTGCGGAACACATTACTGGTATAACGACATGAGTTCTGTGGTCATTACCGACGCCAACAACGCACTACACTACACCGAGCTTTGGACCAGTTTACTCCGCGACGCGGCGCCAACTGCTGCCTTTACACAGTATTGCCATGTCAATTGCCAACATATGGTCGTCGGAAATTATTAACTTGGGTTTTGTATTGAATTTTGACATGTCCGTCACGGAGGATTTTGACGCATATTCTTCACTAATTCGACGATAATGCTCAGATTATGCTCTTTCACCTCCACTAATTTGCAGGCTAATCGGAGGTGAGTAGTTTTTCACCTCAGTCGCAATCATCCTTCGACAGAGGTAGTGCAATCATCCTTCCATAGAGGTAGTAGTATTTTTGGTATAGCAGAGGATCATTGTGTTACCGGTATCCAACAAACACCCAAAAGTACAATCATCACTATCAACCTGGATCCAGCACACTGTAAGTCGTACTAGTAATTCCAACATGTTTGAAATATACTCACGGGTACAGAACCATGTAGACTATGGTATACTAGGATATGAGGTGGACGAACATGATTCACGCCAACATTTGACTCAAATGTACGTACAGTAAGTGGCCGGCCTTTCGAGGTAGTTCAATGGTTTGGCGACGACCGTCCCAAGCTCGTGTTTTCCACTTTTGAATTTCCCCGGTGGCCTACATGTTCTCAATCTTCAAAGCTGCTACAGTCCTCGCCCTTGTGGCCGTGGCGTCCGCTGACGACATCTTGGACTTCTTTAAAGGCACCGAGTCGCTTTGCGATGCTGATCAATCTCAACCAGGCCGCTGTTTGAGCGACGCCCACTTTCCCAAGCTGTGGCTCGTATTCGCACGGGGACTACCGGTAGCTACTGCACGGCGTGGCTGTGGGGGTCGGAAGGTCACCTAATCACCAACAACCACTGTGTCCCGAACGAGATCAAAGCCAATCAGACCCGAGTCGAATTTGGCTCCGAGTGCTCGACTTGTGCCGACCCCGACAATAATGTCAAAGGTGCCTGTATTGGAGCGATTGTCGCCAACAGCACCACGCTTGTGTTTACCGACAAATCGTTGGATATGACACTGCTCAAGTTGAATTTGAACCCTGGTGTGAACTTGACCCAGTACGGGTACTTGCAATCCCGCGCCGTGAACGCCTCGTTGGACGAACAAATCTACATCCTCGGCCACCCCCAAGGCAATCCGAAACGTATTTCGTACTTGAACGACGACGGCCAGGCTGTCCGCATCACCAACACGTCCGCGGAATCCAAATGCTATGAGCAAGACACTTTGGGGTACAACGTCGACACGGAGCATGGAAGCTCTGGCTCCCCCATCGTGGGCGTCCATGATAACGAGGTCGTGGGGTTGCACAACTGCGGGGGTGCGGAATCAATGGTCGTAACACCGGCAACAAGATGACCAGCATCGTCGCCCTCTTGAAGTCTCACAACTTGTTGCCCAAGGACGCGGTAGCCGATAACCGCTGCTAAGTGTTTGTTCGGGTTTACTCGTGGTTGAGTGCTTTGTTCGTACTACAGTAACGTAAAAAACCAATTTAAGATAACTTTTTTGGAGGCGTCGGAGTTTTGAATTGTGATTCCAATACACAAGACGCGCCTCTTTGACTTCAAAATCGAACTATCAGTTTAGGCGATGAACTTAACAGGTAATTTTTTTACTTTCTAAGCATTTTTACTCACATTTTGATAACCAATTTGGGATAACTTTTTTATCTTAAAGTATGTATGTGTCTGTGCATTGAAATTCTATGTTTAGGGTAAGCGGTTACATATAATTTATACAAGGGTACTGTTTTATAGAGTTAAATTTCTGTTGTGCATGGATGTCCACCGAGTTTAACACTCGACAAAACCTCAGATCCAACTCAATGTGGCCCGTGTCGACTAGGGAACTTCAAACCCAATCTTGAATGACTATTACCAATGGCTTCTACGCCGTTTTTGCATTTCAATCACATGACGGAATGGCCAGCATTATATGATAGAGGTTTTGACTCGAACAAATAACGAGGTGTGATTGGGCAATACAAAGTTATCCTAAATTGGTTAAGTTATCTTAAATTATTTTTTTACGTTAGTATAAAATCTTGAATTTACACTAGTCGACAGCTGTGAAATGGCCTTTGGGAATAACTTTTGCTGCCTAATAAACAGTTAATACGAACTTTATAGCTCACGAAGATTTACAGTTAATTCATGTCCGAGAATGAGTCGTATCCGGACAAAATATTTTCGCAATCCAAAAAATGTCGCTCACAATATTACTTCGAAGTAATACTTTTTCGTTTTTTATGAAAATGAGTGCCAGACATGAACGGACTTTCTCAGGCGTAGGTGGCATCCACTTTCATCCATGTCTGAGTTCTTCCGAAAGTGAACGATAGTGTTATCCGGAAAATTTGGTAACAACCAATTAAAAGCTCGGAATATCTTGAAACATGGACAGAAATATTCCGGGACCAGAACTGTGTAGTGACAGAGGTACTACTAAATTTAGTATTAAAATAGTACCTCTAATGATTGCGACTGATATGAAAAACAGAACTTCCTCAACTCTGATTGGCCTGTACATTAGTGGCCAATCAGAGTTGACATGGCTACATAATTATATCGGGCACACCACCAAATATATCGGGTGCACGGCCAAATATATCGGGCATTCGTCCAACTTACATGTTAACTGCAAAATGGTGTACTTGCAGTAACGTTACTTGTACTAATAGTTTGAATCGTAGTAGGTGCACCAACACTCCTAGTATGTAGTACTCCTGAATGAACAAGTACGACCAATTGGACCAATTAATAATTCGTTCGAATCGTAGGAGGGGGCAGATTAGGATGATTCGGGGTGGTGCTTGGTCGAGGGCGGCGTGAAAGGGGCCTTGCGGATAGGCTGTCGCAATGCGTTCTGGACGCACAACGTCGAAAGAGACGTTTGCTTGGGGAACGTCGTCGCAGAAATGCTGCAGGGGTTGAGGGCTTGCAAAGTCGCACGGGAGGATTTGGCTGCATATTTCTTGGCCTTGGACGGACTATCCCCGTCGGACGCGTGGACGTTGGGCACATACCTACACAACCAGCCACACCCCCATCGTTTAGACTCGTTGCTACAGACTTTGCTGACGAAGGAAGAGTGGGGTACCGAGACACGAGGCGCGTGGTGTGTTCCAAGTCACTCGACAGCTTCTGGAGCATCGCATCCGTCGTTTGCAGGTGCAGTTTCATCTGGTGCAGATCGTGCTCGAACGCTGCGAGCAGCTTCCCGCGCTCGTTGATGTCGTGGCGAGACTGCACCGTCGTGGCCCCTCGTTCGCCCAGAGAAGCCATGGTCCCCCGCTGCTTGAGCTCCTACGCACAACCTCCCGTAAACACCTTCGTCGTCGAGATAGAGGACGGACGTCGAGGCGGGCGGACATGGACAAGAGCGCGCCGTGGGTGTCGGTCTTGAGCTGCTCCAACTGCTGCTCGACAGCCGCCGCCCGTCGCCGCGCGACTTCGTCCGCGTCGCTCGCTTGCAAGCGGGATGTGACGGCGTCCGAGAACGCCACGAGGGTATTCCGCATCTCTTTGGACGACACGGCGTCCGTGGTCGAGAGCAGCTCCACGGTCGACTGGATGCCGAACGCGAGCACCCGCGCCACTCGCTCTGTGTGCTTTATCACGACCTACAAGACGTTATCTTGTGTGGAGAGATGTATGCCCATGCGAAAGATGCAAGGTCGTACAGCAGGCGCCAGAGTCTCGTCACTCGATAATACGTGGTACGCGTCGTTGAGCACGTCGAGGATCTTGTCCACGTTGCGCCGCATGTCGACACTCATGTGTTTCTTGGATTGGCGCACGACGTGCAAGTTGCGCGACAACTCGAGCAACGCCAGGCGCAACGCTGGCACACTGGAGCCCTCTACGAACACTGATTAGTCGACAGGAAAAGGACTAGGCCATCGTAGTACCATGGTCGGCCACGACGAGCAGGGAGGCCGCCGGTTGATGGGGCGGGGCCAGCGGCATGAGTTGGTGGACTTGTTCTCGCAAGAGTTTGATCTTGGCGTGGAGGCCGTCGACGTGCCTGTTCATTATCACATGCAGCGCGTCTTGCTTGCCTCGCGCCTACAGCATCCCCCTGAGTCGTCTGTCGTGAGCGCAGTGCTTTGTCGTACGTCGACCCTGGCGGCATTCACCATGGCGTAAATCGCGCGAAATTTGGACTGCATGTGGTTGCGCATGTCCGCGGTCGCACTCACGCTGTCGTCCTGTGTGTGATGCCGCACGAACGCCATCTGGTTGGCCGACGTGGGGGGCTCGACGTCCGGCAGGTGGTGGCGGCAGGATGTGCCGGACCACGGCAGCACGTCGGCGGCGGGTTTCAGGAGCGCGTCCGGGGTGTGGGGTCGGACGAGGTCGTCCACCGAGGTCGCATACAGCGCCGCGATGTTGTGCTCTAGTCGCTCCTGCATGTCGTCTGGGATGCGGAACTGCTTCAAGTCTGTAAGTCGGCCGCCCTTGGGCTTCCCCGCCGCGAGTCGCCGGGCGTGGACTTCGACGGGAATTTTGGTCGTTCCTTCGGGGAGGACGGGCACGACGACGGGGGGCGGCACGGACGGCGGCGGCAGTGGCTTAACCTCCTTCATCTCCTGCATGTCTTGGTCCAGCACGTTGACCTTTTTGGTGACGTCTACGGAGGGTTGAACCAAGGGAGGGAGATCCATCTTTATTACCGTCGAGTTTGGTGGCGAGGTCGGTCTTAGTGTGTTCAAGTTGCTGCAGCACATGGCCGTGCAGCGAGTCTGTCTTCTGCACGAGCACTTCGATCTCTTGCTTGGTGCTGGTGGCGCTGGACTTGGTCGTGTCATCCAACTTGGTGTTTAGCGAGTGCAAAGCATGGGCCTGCCGTTCCAGCAACGTGCTATGAGCTGTGCTAGTCTGATCCAACTTGTCGCATGTATTTACGAGCGCTTGCATGTTGCTCCGCATCATCTGCACGGGTTCCTGCCACTCCCCCATGTTGCCGTGCAAGTCGTGCAGTTGACCTGTCATCGAATGCAGCAGCGTCTCCATCGACTGCACCGCCGCACTCTTCCCGTCCACGCGACGCTCCAGTGCCACAAGGCGCTCTGCCAGCTTGGTCAAGACGACGCGGATCGCCGACGTGTGCGCCTGGAGTTCCTTCTGCACCACTTGAAGCAGGGACGCCGCCCCGCGTTGCTCCTCAGTGTCTTCCCCCGACGCGTCCATCACGTCGTCGTGCCTCGCCGCAAGGAAATCCCAAATTTCGGTTACAAAAGTGAAACCATATCGACTTGCCAAAACGGGGACTTTCTAGCAATACAGTAACGTTAGTACTGTACTGTACCTGCGACACATTGCACTGCAGTTGACGCTGGTCCAGCGTCATACTGTGACGTGGACGCTGCTCCTCGTCTCATGCAACCCAATCTCCTTGCTCACCGATACTGTGTGAACCTGCCAGCATCCCATGTAAATGTATATTTCCACCCATATATATCCCGGTAAAGAGTCCTCAACGTCAAGTTCCCGTTGTTGGATCCTAACTAGTATGCGACAAGGTTTCAAAGCAAAACAAGGATAGTAGAATGTATTTGTTAATGGTGGAACAGCCGCACGCCGGAAAACGTCATGGTGATGCCATACTCTTGGCACGCGCTCTTGATTTCGTCGTCGCGGTTGCTTCCGCCGGGCTGCGTGATGAACGACACGCCGAGCTTGGCGGCGTGGTCAATGCCGTCGCGGAACGGAAAGAACGCGTCGGACGCGAGGGACACGCCCGTGAGCGCCGCCACGAACGCCGTCTTCTCAGCGTCCGTCAGCGGTTCCGGCACCACGTCAAACTGGGCGTCGAACGCCGCCTTCTCCACGGGCGCCATGTCCCCTTCGATGTACCGGACGCGCGCATTTACGCGCTCCTGGCGCTTGACGCTGGGCTTGAACGCCAGCGCGGCGACCTTGGGGTGCTGGCGGAGGTGCCACACCGACACCTTGCGACCGGCGAGTTTGACGCAGTCGACGCGGCTCTGCTGGCCGGCGCCGACGCCGATCATCTGGCCGTCCTTGGCGTACCCGACCGAGTTACTCTGCGTGTATTTGAGCGTGATGGCAGCGAGAATCAAGTCGCGCTGGGCCGCGTCCGTGAGGGGCGACACCAGGGTCTGGACGTCCGCAACATGCGAGTGGTTGAAGAGAATGTCGTTGCGGCGCTGGGCAAACGTCATCCCATACACTTCGCGGTACTCCATCGCAGGCGGGACAAACGTTGCGTCGGCTTCCAACACGATGAACTTGCCGCCCTTCTTCTCGGCCAAGATCTTGAGCGCCGCCGGCTCGTAGCCCGGGGCGATGATTCCGTCCGACACTTCACGCTTGAGCACCTTGGCGGTGGCTTCATCCACAACGTCGCTCACGGCCACAAAGTCGCCAAAAGAACTCAGCGGATCGGCGTTGCGGGCACGGAGGTACGCCACGGACAGCGGCGTGAGCTCAATGTTGCCCACTTCGTACGCGGCTTTCAGTTTGTCGTCGAGCGGTACGTACACGGCGGCACCCGCGGGACTGACGTGCTTGAACGAGGCGGCGGCGGGCAGATTGAGTGCCTGGCGGACTTCCGCCACCAGTTGGTACGCGTTGGCAGCGTCCAGGAGGTTGATGTAGCCGGGGGTGCCGTTGAGGACCTTGAAGGGCAACTTGGCGCCGTTGATTGTGCTAATGGACGCCGGGTTTTGGTGGGGGTTGCATCCGTACTTGAGGGTCAGCGCTGGCGTGTACACTTGGGTGACTTGGTTGGCTTGTGGGCCGCCCAATTGCGCGTTGAACCAGTTGGAGATTTGCGTGTCGTACTGCGACGACAGCGTGAACGCGGCGGCGGCGCACTTCTTGCGGAAGGACAGCGTCGTGCCCGCGGCATGCACCTTCATTTCTTCAATCAACGTCGGGTACTGCGACGGGTTGGTGCAGATGACCACGCTCGCGTGGTTCTTTGCCGACGAGCGAAGCATGGACGGGCCGCCAATGTCGATGTTCTCAATGCACGTTTCAAAGTTGCCGCCAGACTTGACGGTCGCTTCGAACGCGTACAAGTTGAGCACCATCAAGTCAATGTTCTTGATGCCGTGCGCCGCCATGTCGGCTTCGTGTTGTTTGTTGCCGCGCACACCCAACAGGCCGCCGTGGATCTTGGGGTGCAACGTCTTCACGCGCCCGTCCATCATTTCAGGGGACTCGGTGTACTCGGACACGTCAATGACGCTCAACCCAGCGTCACGCATGGCTTTGGCGGTGCCGCCCGTGGACAGCAGCTCAATGCCTTGACCGGCCAAGAAGGCAGCCAATTCTACCAAGCCAGTCTTGTCAGACACGGACAACAGCGCGCGGCGAATCGGCACGACGTCTGTGATTTGGCTGGCGACAGCGGTGATGATGTGAGCCATCTTTGGATTGTTTGGAAATGATGGCACGAAGGAGTCTTCCGTCGAAACCTTGTGTAAATTTATACAATGTCAAGTGCAAGTATATCTAATTTTAATGCGTCATTTTACCATTCTTTGGTATGGTCAAACAATTGTAAATTGTAACAAGTTGTTTCTTACTCATTTACAGTATGTATACCTCTCTAAACTAATATTACAGAATAGTGACTTTTCGTGACAACCCATAGATACACATTTTTGCGTTAAAAGACCTGCCAGTTTTCCGGATAAGTGGGTGGAGAGGGCACTGGCCGTTCCGTTCTCGAACGCGGGAACGCTACAACTCATACCTTCAGTTCTACCGTTCCATGTTACAGTACGGATAATTAGGGACTTATCCGGGCGTCTAATCTTCACGTCCAAGCCAATTCTGGCGAAATGGGGACAAAAACACCCGGATACATCTCCAAATTATCCGAAACTTCGACGGTACCACTATTGTATTCAAAAATGACTAAAGAGTGTAGGTTTATCCGGACGCAGGGTCCACATCTCTTCATGTCGGGGCTCAGCCCCACCCACCACTCATTTCCTCTTATGTACGAGGCGAACTTTAGATCATGATATTTGATCGTATACAAACTCAAAGACAATATTGACGAGTAGAGTCATCGTGCTAAAGAATTCCACGAATCAAAACGTCGCGTGGAGCAATTTCTCCTGGATTTTATCCAATCCGAATGCTCCATGGACAACACGGTACATATCTTGTGTAAACGTGTGCATTGTTATCTCATGTGAAGTATGGGCTAAACAAACTAATATCTTTGGCGCTGGCCCAGTTTGGACTCCCCCAAGTCCACCCCCGTGGGTGCCAACCGAGGCGCCACGTATAATCTGTCGTCCCGCACGCCGCCGTTGTTGGCGTAGCCGGCGGGGGCGGTAGTGGGCTGCATGCGCAAGTCTTGCATCCGCTGCATCTCTTGAAAGTTCACATCCGAGTCCTTCGAGTCTTCGCGGGTGTACAATCGGTTCGACGACGCCGCGCGGGGGTCTTGCAGGCGTGGGTCCACGCGCACACGGGGGTCCACTCCCGACGACGCTCCCATGAGCCCGATGCCGCCTCGGCCATCGTACCCGCCAGGGACTTGGTCGGGGGTGCCCAATTGACCGGCGGCGGGGGCCAACGCTGGCGGGGCGGCTTGCGCAGCGGGGGTACCGCTCGTGCTTCCGCTTCCATCCCTTCGGCCATTTTGCTACACAACGACATATCGAATCATCATGGCTGACGAGTGTAAAATAGGCACATACCAAGTTGAGGACAGTCCAGTCAAACATGGCGTCAAACTGGAACCCCTTGCGGAAAAACAGCTCCTTGAACAGCCGCTTGAGGTACGCGTAGTCGGGCTTGTCGTCAAAGCGAAGCGCGCGGGTGTACTCAAAGTACGCGCGGAATTCGGCGGGGTACCCCTTGCACAGCACTTCAATGGGCGTGTTCATCTTCTTCTCCATAATGCGCTCGTACTTTTGCTTCTTCGTGTTGGCCTTAAGCCCTTGCCATGGAAGCGACCCGCGGATAAAGTACATGAATACGTAGCCGAGCGACTCCAAGTCGTCGCGGCGGCTCTGCTCGATCCCAATGTGCGTGTTGATGGACACATACCGTGCGGTGCCGGTCAAGTTTTTGTTTTCCCGGTACGGAATGTGCTGGTGAGTCTTGGGGTCGCGGTACTTTTTGGCCAGTCCAAAGTCGATCACGTGGCAGATTTGCGCGCGTTTGCCGAGCCCGATGAGAAAGTTGTCGGGCTTGACATCGCGATGGATAAAGTTCTTCGAGTGGCAGTACTCCAAGCGACTGATCAGTTGGTCCGCGATCATGAGCACCGTCTTGAGCTGGAAGCGGCGGCCGCAATAGTCAAACAAGTTTTCGAGGGACGGCCCAAGAAGGTCGATCACCATCACGTTGTACTCACCTTCGACCCCGAACCAGCGAATGTTGGGAATGCCCACTACAAAAGTGTTCAAGCATCATGAGAATGGGCCGGCGGGCGGTGGGTGATAGGAAGTGGAAAGGGCGTACATCCGCCGTTGAGGATCTTGTAGATTTTAGACTCATAGAGGAGCTGAGGGTGCTTGCTCTTGACCGACTCCAACTTGATCGCGACTTCTTCGCCCGACGTCATGTTCGTGCCGAGGTAAATGTCCCCAAACGACCCGCTGCCGATTTTTCGGCCAAGCCGGAACTTCTTGCCGACACGTAGTTCCAAGGAACTTTCTCGTTGCGATGCCATGACGATGATTCAACCTAGGATTGTCGATGAGACTTCGTTGAACGAGGTTTCCCCCACCCACCACTCCCCTCAAGATGAGTCGTAGGAGGATGGAACGGCTGATTCGCGCAGGAGAACCCGCTCTATGGGACGGACGTGATACCTGGTAGTTGTAGAAGGGGGGGTGTAAGGAAGGGAGGGTTCCTTGCTTGACGTGGAGGTCGGATGCGGCGGTACAAGTTCCACAGACGGAAGAATGAGCCTCTCAGTCGCCGTGGGGAAAGAGAAATTCGGAGCGATAGTAACGTTGGTATTGAAAGCCATGGCGCGATGGGATTGGCTAAAATTCGGTCTTTTTGAGCCACACGAGGCCGCCGAATGTCAGTCGGCAGGGATTAAGCCGTGCAATTGTATTATCTAGCGAATTGTATCGAAGGAGGATATAGGCAATAAAACCATCGAAACAATTCAGAGCCAGCTGTGTATAGTGAAACCAAGTGCAATCCCTCGAAACAGTGTAGGGCTCGGGCAAGCGATGCGCTATTTCCAGCGTTCAACCGCGCGGCACACTGTACATTGTACCCCATCCCCTACCGCGCCCTACAGTTCGTGGATCTTGGCATGGGGATGTGCTCCTCCATCGCCATGCATGCTACATGGGGGCTAGTAGTGTGTGTGGGGTGGATATGTACTGGCATGACGACGGTCGCAGTCATGTGTAACTATAACGATGTTGTATTTCATGAAAGATCGTAGACCTTACAACCCTGTGTTGTAAGCTTAACGTTATCATGGAAATATGCACCGAATGCTGCGTCTGGGCAGCGTGAGTGCCCAGACGCAGCGCTCGGTGCATATTGCTACATCTTGGTACAAGATGACAGCATAACTACGGTAGATCTCTAAGTGATGGCGCGGACTTTACACAAAGTTAGAGCTGTGGGGCGGCGGGTCAGTGGCACTGTGAATTTGTACAAAAGAGTGAAGGTCTAACTGAGCTTATTCACATAAGTACGTTATTAGTTTAACGTGCTCGAGGTTTTTCACTTCCCATCGTTTTATTGTCACCAGCTGGGTTGATTACATAATCGCTGGCATTATCACCACCACCATCGCAACAGCATGGAGGTTGTCGTTCGCCAGTACTTGGTCGAAGCGGACGGACGAAAACTTCTCCTACAAGATGACGACACAGCTCGCACCTTCATCGATGATTTGTCTCGCAACGATGACTTGCATGCAACAGGCAACGAGCATCCTGGCGACAATCAACTCTACAGAGGCATGCGATCGGATTCATACGTCACACAGCTCGCTCAAGTGCTTGCTGCGTGGAAGGAGACATCGAGGCACCCCCTCTTAGAGCTCCCTAATGTACCTATGGTTGGTGTGACCGAAGACAAGTCGTCTCTCCTTCGCGTGCTCGGTATTCCGTTGGAAATGGTGGTTCATGTGGACAGCGTGGCATCCATGGACTCGTTTATCACAGCTATTGGGGGTGCTCGAGGCATCCTGACCCTTCTGGGCGTGCGATGCACAGTGGGTAGTGTCGTTGTATGCCCGCCAACACGTGCGCAATGCCTGGAAGCATTCAATCGACGCCAATCTAGTGATTCCAAGTCGTCTATTCTTACAATTGGCGCAAGGCAGTGGACAAAGCACGTGCAACGCAGCCTCAATGGATGGTGGGGCGTGAACAAGGGCAGCGAGGCAGCGAAGAATGCCGTGGCCGAGTGCATGATTGTTCAGTTGCTGGATTCAACAGTGTGGAAGAACATCCATGGGCTACCGAATGGGCCGGTGGTGTTTGAGATTCGCCAACACGAGGGGTATGGCGCTAGATGGTCGATTCAAGGCGGCAAGGACGTGCATTTCCGAGGCTTCGTGGAACCTTACTTCGAGAACGGGCACGACGTTGGGTGGATGCATTAGACATGTGAATTGTGTTCAATTAATCACAGCGTGAAATCAATGTATCCAATCATATCCGTGCATTCTCGATACGGCATGTTTCATTGGTTGAAACCCAAAGTTGGTATTAATATACAAAGGACTTGTGAAACGAGATATGGACCCGACATCCGCAATTCGCAAGATTACACCTTGACGATGGGATTGGAGTCGTTCGACCTCGATGCCTTCGCGGCCAAGTATGCAGGCGAGAACCGCGTCCGTCATCTAATGTATATCGTGGAATACGGAATCAACCCTCAACATGTCTTCGAAAACCATGACAATCGAGGTACTGTGTGTCGTCGCAACCGTCATTCATTGTCTCACCAACACGATTCCTTCAGAATTGGTGGTGCAATTGGCCAAGGACGCGCTGCGTCTGCTCTTGTCGGACGTGGAAGCGTCCAAAACGACAACCGTGAACACGACGCTGTACCGCGATCTGACGACTAAATTCAAGGAGTACCTGCCGTTGGATTATCACCCTGACGTTACGTTTGTGGACACCGCCACACGTGCGAATGCGGCCCGCCACGAACGACTGGAGCAAGAACTCAACTCGTACAAGTCCAGCATGATCAAGGAGAGCATTCGGGTACAACACTCCCCCCCATATTTCCATCTCTCCATTGTCGTTAGATTGGGTACAACGACCTCGGCGAGTTTTACTACCGCACGGGAGACCTCGCGAACGCACTGCGCAGTTTTATCCAAGCCCGGGACTATTGCACGACAGAGAAGCACATGGTCGACATGTGCTTCAATGTCATCAAGGTACCACCACTCCCCCCCAATATCGATTCTTCGTGATCATCATGACAACGTAGGCGTCCATCCACTTGAAGAACTACACCAACGTCAACAACTACCTGGTCAAGCTGGAGCAATCGATCGCAGCGCCTTCTTCGGCGGCGGCAGACTCGGACCCCACGTAATAGCATACTCCGTCGTCTCTGACTGTCCTCATGTGTGTCCACAGCGTGCCATCGCAAGCCGCCGCGACGTCGGGCCTGGTGCATTTTGTGACTAAAAAGTACCACGCGGCCGCGTTGAAGTTTGTCGAGTGCCACGTTGACATTGGCGACAAGTACAAGGACGTGATCCATGCCGAGGATATTGCGCTCATCGGGGGGCTGTGTGCCGTCGCGACATTTTCCCGCGCCGAACTCAAGGACCGCGTGATGCAGAACCCGTCGTTCAAGGCGTTCCTGGAGCTCGTGCCCCGCGTGCGCGAGCTCATCGCGGCGTTCTACGCGGGCCACTACGCCACGAGTTTGCACATCTTGGCCGATGTGACGGTACACTCGGCATTTGATGCATCCTACATCGATGAATGATGATAAATGTAGCAAGAGCTGGCGCTGGATGTGATTGTGGCGCCGCACGTTCTCGACCTGATCAACGAGATCCGCCATCGCGCGATCGCCCAGTACTTTAACCCGTACCTGTCGGTGGACTTGAAGGTCATGGCGGTCGCATTCAATACGTCTGTGGCGGCAATGGAGGCGGAGCTGACCGAGTTGATCGTGGCCAACAAGTTGCAAGCGCGAATCGATAGCCACCACGAGGTAGGAGGTATTAGGTGTAGGAGGTATTAGGTGTAGTAGTGTCATGGATGGAGGTGCCAATTGATCGAGTGAGTTGTAGGTGCTGCATGCATTCCAACCCGACCACCGCGCGGCGACGTTTCAGAAGGCGGTCGACATGGGGCGGCAGTACGCGGCCGACACGAAGGCGTTGGTGCTGCGCATGAGTCTGGTCAAGCACAACATTGTCGTGGTGAATCCCACGTCGGCTAACGACCGGCACAGTCGCCATTACCACCACCATCCACCTCACCAAGACGACTAAGGAGGCTGCATATGTAGAGTATACTGCATGCATCATATGATCATATTGTCAATTCGAATTTGGAGTAATCGAATGAGCAGAATCACCAAATCGATATACGACCAATCAAAACCCCAACACGAATCAAGTAGTCAATCAATCAAATCCACTCTTTGAACCAATTCAACATCGAATTAGTGTGTGAATGAAATTAGTGTGTCATTGGACCATTTTTACATAACAACAGTCAAAGATTCAATCGATTGATTTGGTGAATCAGCACAAAAGTCAACCAAATTTGGGAAAGACAATAAATAGTATTGTAGTTGGCACCACAGCCCATGTACACACAGTAGTACTGCAGTTGAATCTACGGTAGTAAGTTCTACTTGCTGTACTGGAACCACAAGTACACCATTTATACCGGAAATAACCTGAACTTACAGTTAAACGAAAAATGGTGTAGTTGGGATATTAATAGCTACATATATTATTGTCCTCCTCACGCAAATTTGGCCTGTTCAGTCGAAAAGTGACACCGTTTTTGAACTTGGCAATATCTTGTATTCACTAGGGAGTGTTTTTAGAAAACGTATTGATTGGCTGAAATCTTTTAGAATGGATTTTGATTGGCTAGTTCATTGTCAACTCGATTTACCACGTCTTTTCGAATCGATTTACCACGTCTTTTCGATTCTCCAATGATTACGAACCGACTTGTCACTATACTTCGTCTAGACGACAAAGAAGTAGTATGATGTCGAGAGTGCTGGAGTGGGAGTTTTGATAATCATTTTTTTTCATTCCGTCAACCGTCTACTTGTGTGACGTGGCGTATGGCCGACTGGACGAGGGCCACGTAATAAGCCGCTTCGCCGCCGTCGCGTCCGTCGGTCAGGGCCAGCGTTTCCATGACATGGATTTGGGCGATGAGGAACGGGGCGTGGCTGTGGAGGACGAGCGCGACCAGCACGGGCAAGATGATGTCCGCCGACAGCGACTGCGCGGGTCGCGCCAATGACGCCGACACTTCTTCGTGCAGCGTCGAGATGACGCCGAGAAAGGCGTCGAGGGTGTGGTCGGGCATGAAGTACGGCAGCGCTTCCAAGGCCGCCACGGAGCGGCGGAGCCACAGCGTGGACGCCGCCGGCAAACCCACTTCTTGCAGTTGATGCAACGCACGCGCACGGGCAGACGGAGACGCGTGCTGCGTCCATGACGCTTGGTCGCGCTCGAGAGCCGAGGCGACGGGAGCGACAAACACCGCGCCGAGACGAGCATGCACCATTTGACGAGTCAAGCGAAGGAGCGCGGGCTGATGCGACGGTGGGACGTCGTGCTCGTCGGCCAGTGCTCGGGCGAGTTGGCCGACGAGGGTTTGGAATGAGGTGGTGGATGCGAGAGCGTTGAGGGAACGGCAGCAATGGGATTCGAAGGCCATGCCAAGATCTGTTTGGTCGAAGCGGGACGTGACCAGATGCAGCTCAAACGCCAGGTACGATGGACAGGGCTGGTCCTGATGTGGTGCCGTCAACGGCGCGGAGGCGAGGAGGTGGGTCAACGATGACCATGAGTGATGGAGGTGGTGGGTTTTGGTGGTTTCGTCGAGGGAGAGGCGGCGAATGTGATGCTCTGGTGCTGCATGAACCTCGTCCGCGGACAGGCGACGCATGCAACTCACAGGGACGGACTTGACGTGAGAAAGCGCTGTCCGGAGCCATTTGCCCTGGGAAAACAGCGTACGATAAATGGAATCTCGTCGGAGGCGGTCCTTCCATTGAAGGGAAAACGACACGGCGTCGACCTCGGCCGACGACCGAAGCACTTCGATTGCCCGTTTATGCAACGCAGCTTCGACGTGGAGCTTGACGCGGGCCAGACTGGAGCGACACGACGGTTTCCTCCGCAAAATGCTGGACAAGTTCAAGTTGGTGCTGCTGCTATTGGCATCCCATTCGATGTCGGCGAGTCGCTGCTTGTACGCCGCGACCTCGAGCGCGATGCGGTCCTCCACGGCGATGACATGATCTAACTTGGCGTCGAGGGACATAGGGGTGAGTGCAGTCTTGACCCGGCGGAGTACACCAGAGTCGGATGTCGTCTGAAGCTGCATGTGGGTGTTGTTCATGCTAACGTTAGCAAGTGGTTGAATGCCGTCCCCAGCATTCTTCTCACCGACATTCAGTCCTATTCCGCCACGAGCAGCCGTCATGGTGACGATTTGATTGGTCCGCTAATGGTGGCAATTCCGAATTCACCTGCAAAAGACACTTCAAATTTGTATACGTGGCAAGCTCAACGCGCACCAATTCTGCATTCCTAACGTTACAGTGTATTCTAACATCTAATATTACGTTCGAAACACTGCATAGATGGTGGCAAGCACACTCCGACGCATGAAGGTCTAACGAGGGCTGCTTGCTCCTTTCGATAATGGGGGCGCTCTCATATCGAGTCAAACATGGTGGACGACGCCGCGCCATTCGTGCGGCAACGCAAGGGACGTGGATGCATGCTTCAACTGGCTGAACCTGATCTTCCGCCGAACGTTAGTTCGTACTTGGAAGTATGATTAATAATATTGTTTTGGCTTTTTCGAATGTCGAAGGGGGAGGATAATTAAGATATTTCTTGGAACAAGAAATCAGGAAATATATCTCAAATTTGTTGTAATATTTGCAAATTTGGAGCACTAGTTTTTGTAACTTTGAACTGTAAGCAACAAGGGTTTTTGATCCGAATCGGTTTTTGTGTGGTTTTGTCTTGCGAACCACCGTACCAAGGTAAGCGTGGCGACTGTCATGATGCTCGAGTGAGTTGGATGATGGAGATCACCGCGGATGTCCATGGAATAGACTTCGTCCATTCGCCCCGAGGACTCTACCTCACACCTCTACTTGACAGAATGGACGCCCAAGCACGTGCACGTCCGCTGGACTTAGTCGTGGGGAGGAAGTTCCGCCTTGGGCGCAAAGTCGGCAGCGGGTCGTTTGGGGACATTTATCTCGGCACGAACATGACGTCAGGCGAAGAAGTCGCGATCAAACTCGAAAACAGCAGATCCAAGCATCCCCAGCTCATGTACGAGTCCCGGATCTACAAGATCTTGAACGGCGGAAGTACGACCCCTCATGTCAACACGCACGCGTCCGTCCTCACGTGTTCATAGTGGGCATTCCCAACCTTCTGTGGTTTGGGATCGAAGGCGAGTACAACGTGATGGTGATCGACCTTCTCGGTCCGTCCCTCGAAGACCTGTTCAACTTCTGCGGCCGCCGGTTCACGCTCAAGACGGTGCTCATGATCGCGGACCAACTGCTCAGTCGGATAGAGTACTGCCACACGATGAACTTTATCCATCGCGACGTCAAGCCCGACAACTTTCTCATCGGACTCGGCAAACGCGCGCAAATCTGCTACGTGATCGACTTTGGACTGGCCAAAAAGTACCGCGATTCCAAGACCCACCAGCACATTCCGTACCGCGAAAACAAAAACTTGACCGGCACTGCGCGGTATGCGTCCATCAACACGCACGTTGGCATCGAGCAGAGCCGCCGCGACGACTTGGAGTCGCTCGGGTACGTCATAACACATCATCGTCGTTATCCCGACGACTGTGTGTGTAGCTACGTGTACATGTACTTTCTCCGGGGGAGTTTGCCATGGCAAGGGCTCAAAGCCAACACAAAGAAGCAAAAGTACGAGAAGATCATGGAAAAGAAGATCAACACGCCGACGGACGTGTTGTGCCGCGGGTTTCCCACGGAACTGCGCGCGTACTTTGAGTACACCCGCGCGCTTCGCTTTGACGACAAGCCCGACTACGCGTACCTGCGGCGGCTGTTCAAGGAGCTGTTTTTCCGCAAAGGGTTCCAGTTTGACGCCATGTTTGACTGGACTGTGCTCAACTTGGTACGATATCATTCCGCGAAAGCGTCATGGAGTCCATGACGATGGGAGTAGCAAGCCGGACGAGGAGACACGGCGGCGGTGTCTTCTTCGCACCATGCCGTGGCCGCCCCCGGCTACACGAGTGCCATGCCCGACCGCCGGCCTTCCCCCCCCTTTTTGAACCCGTCGACCGCGCGGTACCCGCAAGACAACGTGCAGGTAGCCAACATGGGCGGCGGCGGGTATGGCCTTCAACGCAGCGACTCTCGCGGTACGGATGCTTGCGTCGTCGTTGGTTGTGAATCGCTGGCTATGTGTGTGTAGATGCGATGGGGCGCAAAGGGGCGTACGACCAGCAGCCGCCCGAAGCCACGACGCAGTACCAACCGACTTCGTACGCACAACAACAGCAGCCGTACTACCATCGATCGCAACCTTCGCCGCAGCAGCAGTCGCGCCCGATGGTCCAGAGAGGAGACAGCACGACGATGATGATGGGCCGCGGAGACTTTCTGGACGACCCCACAGGGGCGATGATCGCGCCCATGCGCCGCATCCAGTCGGTGACGCGGGACGTTGGCGAACCGCCGCAGCAGTATGTTCAGCTGCCGCATAAGTACCCGCCCTCGGCCGACGACCTTCCCGGCCGGTTCCAGCGTTATTAACGACCAAAACAATGACCACCAAGTATACAGTAGTCGTCATGTTAGAGGAACTCGTTCTCTCGCTCAATGTACTTTTGGTTCTTCATCAGTCGCGGCTGCGCTTGGTTGACGTATTGCCGTCCGGAATTGTGCTTGGCCTTGTTGTGTGGCGTGGACGGCGTCGCCGACAGCCGCCGCGCCACGACGATGCGGTCCGTCGCCTCACGCGGGTGGTCGTTCACGTTGTAGATGCGCACGCCGAGGGCCGCCACGTCGGTCATGTGCGCCGCGTGGCGGTACACGGCGGACCGTGGCGTCGTCTCTTCGTCTGCTCGAGATAGATGAGTGATTGTTTAAATGACAGTTTAAATGAAACCCACCAAAGTCCACACGCATGATCGTGTTTTTCTGGACATGATGCTGCATGTGCTCGACCTCGTGCTGCATGGTCGTGAACCGGATCGCGCGCTGCTGCTTGACAATGTTGTCTTGGCTCAAGTGGTTGATCGCAACTTGGTAGATGGTCTACCGACACGAAGAGAAAGGGTAAGCGTTGTTGCGCCTCAACTATGGCTTCGTACGTGCTGCTGGTGCAGTAGTTTGTCCTTCTCCGTGAGCGAGTGGTCCTAAGCAGGGCATATGCCGTCGTCGGGGTTGAAAGTCGGGACGGATGATGATGGAAACACAGTACGAGGGATTTCATCAGCGCCTCCAACTCGTCGTACGTGCGTGGTCCCTTAGGTTTTGCCTTGGACACGCGCTTGGTGGGCGTCGACATGATCATGCGGCGGGTGCGGTTTCCATGGCGCGGCAACGCTTTAAGATGGAGGTTTGTCGTGTATACCACCTACACACATACATAACAATGCCCAACTTCATCACAAACGAGATGGTTGGATGTGGGGTCCCACAACCTGCTGGCGAAGATGGTCGTCCGCATCGTTGTCCTTGTCGGCGTCGTCACCGTCGTCGCTGAGGCTATCCAGTGGCGTGGGTTCTAGGTTCTTTTGCTCGAGATGGTCAAACAAGGTGCCCTATTCGTCCATTGGCACGATGACGATGTTGTCATGCGTACGCTGCATCCTTTGAGCTCGGTTTCTGCCGCTTCTAGAAGGTCGTGGGCGTCATGGCCAGAGCTCAAGACGAAACGCTCGGGTTTGGGCTTGACGACCTCGGCTACAGGAGCAGCCGACTGCCCGGCTTTCGCCACGGATGTCCGTCGAGGGGAACTCATCCCCAGCAAAGCCACGAAAGCGATGCACGTGGCTATAAATAGATAGGTCAACGTGCTTGCGTCACCAACACATTGCGATGGAGCAGAATGGCGTGTATGTATGTAACGTTAATGGAAGTCCGCAAAACGGGGAAGAAGATGGAAATTGCTTGAACGAGTTTACAGTTGTGTTAAACTGTCGACATATTGTGGCTCTTCGTCTCCATGATCTTTCGGCCGCACATGGCACATATACCTACATGATCTTGTGAACGAGCGATCGACATGCAGACAAACACGACCACAGTACCTTTCGTGTAGGAACAGTTCTGGCAATAATGGGCTTCCTGCGCCACCTTGGTCTTGCATATCCGACAGCTTCGGCTCATGGGTGTGAATCGATGCTTCTTTCCCAGGAGAGCATTCCCTGAGATCTTGCGCCCGCCGTCCTTTCCTCCCGCAGTGTTGCGCGCCCCGTCCTTCCACCGGTCAGGTACAATCACCTTGGACAGCTTTGCTTCACACTTGTCGCACACCATCGTATTTTGCCTGGAACTCCTTTGAAAACTCCTTTGCAAAAAAACATCCGCATATCGTTTCAATTATCCGGAAGAAACCAATCCAAAATATTGCGCGAAAACCCATTGTTCAACCAAAGCGCGGGAGATGATGATGGAGGTGTCTCCGGGAAAGACACAGCTTGGAAGCGATAGCATTAACGCGGCCAAGAAGGACCATGAGGCTACCGCTGAAGATGACGAGATGACCCACACGGAAGACTTGGTGTTCTCTCCATATGTGTGCCAGGTGGGCATGACATTTCGATTTATCGTTCCTCGGTCTTTCTCATCAAGAAGGCAACGTAGTCCATCGTCATCGGCCAACCCCATCCCGGAACCATTTCTGAAGCAGGTACATACAAAACCACAGCACAGCGTTTGTTAGAATTGGCGTAGCGCTGCTGTCGACGGCGCCATTGCCGCCATGCACATATCCCGTCGATGCGTTTCCAACGGAATTGATCGAGCATGGGAAGCTGACAAAGTACGTACTCAGCATATTCAAATATGCCATTATGACGAGCAATATGCATTAGCTTGCAGCTCGAAGGTGTGTTGTATGCGTGCATGCAGCATCAACGCGTTCTACCCAGTGGCGCGCGCAGTGGATTTTTCCTTGGGGTACGCCGATGCTGCTGCATGGTAAGCCTTCCTTCATAACATGCACGTAGGATGGGACTGGTGTGGGAAAGGGAAGGCAGTTAGCCGGTATTGTGTTGGAAAATCTGTGCCGTGGTCGCAAGAAACACCTGTGGTAACGACATGACCGATTCCTATCCATCATCACGACTTATGGTCACGAGGTCGTAGGTTTAGCGTGTCGAATGACTTGAGAGTCGATGCCGAGCGGGACTTACGAGACATTGGATGCCACGTGGACGTGATTGACGGGTGCCACCAACGTAAGCAAGCCCGACCGATTGGTGGACGTTGGGATTGATTGATTGTACTAACGATGGCCCTGAATGGGTTTTTTCGCAGTGGAGAAAGAAAAGGCCAAGGGGTTTGGCATGTCGTCCAAAACAGGCGTCTTGTACAGCACGTATTCGACGCTAACGTCCAACTACAGCCATCCCACCAAATCCAGATTGCTTCAAATCGTAGCCTGGTGCGGCGGCGCGAACTTTGACGGGTGCATTCTCTTCGACGAGTGCCACAAGGCCAAGCATGGCGAGCTCAGCGACAAAAGTGCCACTGCGTCGTCCAAAATCGCGTTAGCCGTACAAAAAATCCAAGTCATGCTGCCCAACGCCCGCGTCGTGTACTGCAGCGCCACTGGCGTCGGCGGCATCGAGCACATGGCGTACATGTCTCGTCTAGGTACACACTAGTTAAAACATGTCTTAAATGTGGTGTCAACTGACGGAATATCGCAGGACTGTGGGGCCCATCGACGTCGTTCCAGGGCTTTAGCGAGTTTCTGCGCACAATCAAAAACCGAGGCATGGGCGCCATGGAAATGCTGGCCATCGAAATGAAGCTTCAAGGTACAAAGCCACAAAATGGCATTTTTTTGTACCCCTTGCGGTTGCATTGGTTTCATGTGTCGGTAGGAAAGTACTTGTCGCGGGGGCTGAGCTACGTTGGCGCCGAGTTTGAACTCGACACGGTGGTCCTGAGTGATTCCCAACGGCGCCTGTACGACAACGCGGTCGCGTTTTGGAATGTTTTGATCCCGTCCCTCGAACGTGCGTGCAACATTACACGCACCCGAGGCGACGCTTCCCGAGTGATGTGGGGATTCCACCAGCGCTTCTTTCGCCAATTATGCATGTGCTTGAAGGTGGTTGCGATTATTGCACGGCTGATTGATTACTCACGTTTGGTTCAAAGGTACCGTTTATTGTATCCACGGTCAAAGCCTGTTTGGCCTCGGGGCACTGCGCCGTCATCGGACTTCAAACCACGGGCGAAGCAAGCATGGAGCGATGCAATCTCGTCGACTCCAAAACCGACTCGTTGGTGTCACTATGCGAGCGAATTTTAATCGATTTGGTCACATTGCATTTCCCCACCAAGATCAACATGGACAAGCCCAACAACGTCCACGCCACGTCGCTCGACACATTCGAACCGACCAACTCGTTTTTGACGGCCACCACCGATTCATTCCAAGCCGAACAAGACATCGGACCCGTCGCGACGTTGGCCGACGGAACCAAGGAGAGCTTGGTGTGTTTGGAATTGAAAAACTCGCTGCTTGCGACAATTCCCACGTTGGAATTGCCCCCGAATCCGCTGGATCACCTGCTGGATGCGTTGGGGGGAGACGCCCAAGTGGCAGAACTGACGGGTCGACGGCATCGCATCGTGCTGTCCCACGGGGCGTACGTGATGAAGTCTCGTGGGTTGAACCTAGACCAAGTGAACCAAGACGAACGCCAAGCGTTCATGCGCGGCCAAAAGTTGGTGGCCATCATCTCGGATGCGGCGAGCACTGGAATTTCGTTGCATGCTGACAGACGGTGCCAAAACCAACGGCGCCGAGTCCACATCACGTTGGAGTTGCCTTGGAGTGCGGTACGAGTAACACCCCCCCCCCGCTCCCCCCCTTCCTTCCTTCCTTCCCTTCCTTGAACGTCGATGTTTCCTGTCGCTCACGTTCTAGGACAAAGCCATTCAACAGTTGGGACGAAGCCATCGGTCCAATCAATCTTGTGCGCCGATTTACAAACTCGTGACGACGAATTGCGGGGGCGAAACGCGGTACGTCGTACACGGTCCTACTTTATGACGTGTTGTTTTGAAAATGGTGGGGGGCGGTAGATTCGTTGCCGCCGTCGCCAAGAAAATGATGACGATGGGGGCGCTGACCAAGGGCGATCGCCGCGCCGGCAGCGGGCAAGACCTGTCAGGGTACCATTTCGAGACCAAGTACGGGTTTCAAGCGATCCGAGAAGTGCTTCGGTGTGTGTGCAGCGGGTACTTTGTCGAGGGGGTGGACGTCCCGGCCTTGATCCAGGCGTGTCCAAGTCTCGTGTCGCCACTGTACATGAACGCCATCTTGGTTCAAAACCTCAAGAACATTGGCTTGTACCCACCATCGCAGTCGGTGTCTGTCAAGTTGTTCTTGAACCGCCTGCTTGGCCTTGCCCCAACGCACCAAAATGCCTTGTTCCATTACTTTGAAAAGGCCTTGCAAGCTGTGATTGCCAAAGCCCAGCAAGAAGGCAAGTACGACGAAGGGTACGACGACATCAAGGGACGAAAGGCCATGCTCATGAACGAAGCGGACATTGGAAGCAACGTCACGTACTCGCACATTCTTGTGGACCGAGGGATCAGCTGGGACGAAGCACTTTCGATTTACGACAACGTGGCCAGCGAGTACCAAGCCGAGTTTTACATGAGCGACCAAAAGTACTTTGGCGAATACTTGTACATGTTGATGATCACGGGCGGCCGATCGTGCTCGGTCATTCGACCCAACACGGGGTACATGTTTCTGGAGCCGACCAAGATTGACGACATGCGGTAAGTGTACATACTCCAACGTACATATTTCATGTGGACAGTACCTTGCCTGGATATGGGATATTATTCACTGGCTCCGTAGCGACAAGTACTCGACGATTACATCGGACAAGGCCGAGCGCGGCTGGAAACGTATCTTTGACCATTGCGAGTCTCGGTGTGTTCACACAAGCGGCTGCAAACAAGGCGAGACCTGTCGCGTGGGCATTCGCAAACTGCAGTACCATCTCGTCAGCGGGTCATTGTTGCCTATTTGGAAAGTCCTCGAGCACCTCGTCACGGGGCAAACAGACGTACACACCAACAGCAACAGCGCCGCCCTGCGCATCGTCCGCATCACGCTCACAAACTCTGCCAAACAAAAGCTGGTCGGTGTCAACTTTCCGCCCGACTTGATCTCTACCTTGCAAGCCACGCTCATGACGCTGGCGGCCAACACGAGCACCCATGTCGACCCCGTGACTCCCATCGACATGAAAACCAAAGAGCGCGTGTGCCAAGCCAAGCGCACCATGTTGACCTTCTTTGCGCCCCAACCTGGCGCTGCCTCGTCGTCATCCAAGCGACAACGTGTGGACGAAACCCCAGCAACTGTGGGTACTTCAACGACGTCACAGCCGTCGTCCATGACACCAGCAGCCAAGAGCGGCCGTGAGTTCAAGAAGGCATCGCCCCCGACAAAACAGCGCCCTGTATCGGCATATTTTGCCCCGAGCATCATCCATCCCGTCGCCGCCCCGCCGCCAGTCAAGACGGTACTACACACATCAGACTCGTGCATCGATTTGGTTAGCAGCGACGACGAATTGTAATCAGAAGCCCCCCCCCGCGCCATCTTCTCATTCGAATGCCATTGGTTAACGTTCCTTTCTAACGTTGTTATTAATCCTGGATTCTGACGGCAGAGTTGGCACAACGCGGTGTGTGTTTGGCGGATTTCGAAATGAGAAGACATTTGGGATGAGCGTTCATTAGGTTGTTTGTTATCCCAGCTTTGTTATATTGACCTAGGCAAACGTGCGCTCGGCCAGTTCGAGTCGGATCGTTTCTTGCAACATGCCAAAGACCGCAGGGAACGCCATCAAATCGGTCGGGTTGGACTCGACCCACAACGCGTCAAACATGGAAAACACCATGCCTACGTAAGATATATATAAATATATATATATATATAGTCTTCTCCTCATGAAAATCGGACGGGGGGGTTTGGTTCGTACAGTAGAATTCGTGCAGCTCGTCCAAATTGCAGTCCTTGTCGTACAAGCGCGAGTCCACGAGGCGTTCGCGCACCACATCCACCACAAAACTAGACATCCAACCCGACAGCAGTTGAGTCCCACAGCTTTCAAAGGAGCGACCGACAGTTTACACTTGCCTCGTGATGTTGATGCCGGTGACGGCAAACGGATACCATTGCGTCGGGTGGCTCGCATGCACCAGCGCCCTAGACATATTCCCATGAGCCAAAGCGATACATGCACAAGCCACGACCGTCTAGCTTCGACAGGGTAGTGCTCCGTGTAGTACACCAACTGCGTCAACGCGAGCAACCCCATGCTCCTACCAATGCAGACGGTTATAGACACCGGGATCCCAACGACGCAAACCTGAAGTCGGTCATGGGGTCTTGGCCTTGGAACCCAATCTCACCCCACTCCTTCGTGTAACGACCGCCCGATCGACGCACGTCTGGCTTTAGATTAGTCCACAGCTGCTCCAGCAGTGCCTGTGTCGCATAGCCCCATGAGATACGGTCAAAAGCAGGAGTGTGCCACTGTATGTACCTCGTGTTGGTCGTTCGTCGAGTCGTATGCTTCGTCCTTCAACGCCAACGCTTGAGAATACACTTCATTCACTTCGCGGAACCGAATGAAGCAGCTGCGAAGGTTCGATTCACAGCTAGCAGCAGTTGAACAGACACAGTTGACCACTCGACGTGATTGCGAACGACACAACAGTACATTTTCGAGATGGCGAACTGCTTGATTTCGCCCACGCGAAGCAATGTGCTGGTAACCTATTCGTCGTGAGACTTCGCGCTGCCGAGTTGAAACCGAGAGGGGGGATTACATCGAACGGTTTGAAGTCGAAGATGTCCTGTTGCACGTCCTTGAGCCCCCGGTCGAGTGCCACGTTCGTCCGGACTTTGACCATCATGCCTCGGGTGTCCTTTGTCACCTCGGAGCAAATTCTCTGCAGTTCGCAAGTGCCCAACACGAGGTCCACTGCGGTGAATCCATGTGATCAGTCAAATCCTATCGCTCACAACCCTACCAAGAAAGTTCCACACGACACGCACAATTCGCGTCCATATGGGGTAGTGTCCTTCAATCTTCTTGACCACTTGCGCGACGTTATTGCCACCATGGCCCGCCGCCGCCTTGTTCGCATCCTCCTTGTCTGCCGCCATCGTCGCTACAAAATGCCCAATGTGGAATCGCGTGCCGTCCTTTCCAATGCGTTCTTATTGGCCAATAGTCTACCAATCAAACGCCAACCCCTTTTTTTCACAATTATTTGGTGTTTTTTTGGAGTTTAATTCTATTATTTTTGACCTCACATCCGAATATGCCCTGCAATCAGACACACTCCCAGACGTTGACGAACTTGTCGATGCTCCCCGTAACAAGTAGCGGCAGCGACGGGTGGACATCCAGCGTCGTCAAGAAGTGACTATGCGCGTCTTTCAGCGTCCGCACACACCGCCCCGACTAATGTCCAGTCTCGTCAGTCCACTGGCATCACGTCACAACGGTCATTATCCCTCACCTCGACGTCAAAGACCCGAATCGTCTTGTCTTCGGACGCACTGATCGCGTACTTGCCGCTGCTGTGGAATCGCACGGCCCGCACCCAGTTGTCGTGGCTCACCTAGTCCCAACCGGTTTCAACAACATTCATCCCGACTTCTGCTTCTCCAACACATAGTATGCTATGGTAGACACCGTACAAAGTTCATGAGCAGTAGTCCCGAGAACGCCTCCCACAGCCGCACGGTGCGGTCCCGGGACCCGGACAATAGATACCGCGCGACGGTCTGTCCGGTGGTCTCGGCCACCTTCTTGCCATGGATCGCCTCGATCGCCGCCCCCTGCGGCCCCCGAGCGGCGAACTGCAGCGTCTCCACCACATGCTCGTGCTCCCGCATGCACTGGATGGCCTTCCCTTGCGCCAAGTCCCACAGCGTGATGGCGCGGTCGTTGCCGCCGCTCGCTAGGAACTGGCCGTCGTCCGTGATGCAGATGTCGCGGACCCAGTCGGAATGGCCCTTTAACGTCTGCGTGCAGTACCCTGACTCGACTTCCCAAATCTACCAGCGTACATCAAGCCACATCCAATAATCAAATGTGTTGAAGTTAGAAGATAAAGCCACGTGAGTGTGCCACGTCATGGAAGGAAGGTAGTTTGGGAATCGCGATGGGAAATTTCCCAATGATACGAACGATACCTTGATAGTTGTATCCCTCGAACACGACACTATGTGGTCCCCTGATGGGAAAAACACCAAGCCACACACGTTGTGGTCGTGCCCCCGCAGCGTCTTCTTGCATTCGTAGCTTCCGTCCGAGGAAAAATCCCACAATTTGATCATCAAGTCCGCCGACGACGACGCTATTCCGTCATACTTCATTGAGTGATGCCATCATGCAGAGGAAGGATTGTACCTAGTATCGTGCCCGTGGGGTTGAACGCAACGCTCTGGACGGCATTCGTGTGGCCTTTTAACGTTCGCTCGAACTCGCCCGTTTCGAAGTCCCATACCTATCGTACAGCATGACGAGTTCAATGCATATATATTCCAGCGGGGGTGACACGGAAGATGTAGCGTACCTTGATCGTGGCGTCCTCGCTCGATGTCACCACGACGCTGAAGACAGGATGGAAGACGACACATGTGATTGGACTCCGATGGCCGGACATGGAGTACTTGGGCGGGGCGCGGGGAAGGAATGTGGACGGGTCGCGACCTATGCCCGTCACGTCGCGTCGACTGACCACGCCGCCGAGCTTCGAGTCTTCCTCCAGCTGCTGGATCTTGCTCTCCAGTTCCATTACTTTCCGCTGCAGCCTCACGACCGACGTCCACTTCTTCTCCAACAACCCAGTTTTGGTCGTGTCGCTTTCGCCAGCCATGGTCAGGCCGGCATCCTGCTGGAATGCCGTCGCTGACTGCGCGAACGTTGATCCCAAGCCAGACAGGTACTCCAAGATAGCTTGATGCCTATCGCAAGCAGCAGCCATCGTCAGCTCAACCTGCATCATCTAGCATCACAGTCAGCATCCTCGTACAGGTCCTCGCGCTGTTTCCCTGTCAACACCATTGCACGACACCAAGTATATATATTCCGTCGAAAACGCTATGGGAGGATATATCCGCATACTTTTCTTGGTATCCGGATTCTCCCAAATACAATTCGGAAAACTAATGTTCCATACAAACACACAGAGCATCACGTGTATTTTTATTCTGACGACGACGACGTGGCACACCCCCATGTCACTCTTTAGATGCCCTTGTTGTACGTAAACTCGGTGATGGGCTGCCCCTTGGAGTTCTTCAGGTGTTGGAACTGAGGCTCCACCTGCGATGCAGGGATCGATCCATACTGAGGGAACAGCGCAATCGCGGCTGGGAACGCGCCCCAGATGCACAATGTCACTATCCCTATAGTATGTCCATTCGAAAATTCAGTACCAACAACCCAAAACGGTGTAGTTACCGATTTCAGTGAACACGCGGCCAAAGCGGTTCTTTGGCAATGCGTTTGCCTTCTTCACGGCTTCCAAAATGAACGGCGGGAACAGCAAGACTAGAGAAACAGATAAAGAACGGCAAGAATGTGTGTAGATTAGAAAACCAAATAAGAACACAAACGTAGAATGTATGTACGTACTTGGCACGGGCAGCGCCACGCGCGTCAACGCCACTTGGGTCAGCGACTGCTTGCCGGCTTCTTGGGACCGGCCGCGCGGCACGCCCTCGTCGTCCAGAATGTCGATCCCGTCCCTGTTGAACATACATTCCGTAGGTTAAAATGACCAACACTCCCAACAACGTACGTGAGTTCGCTCAAGCGCATGAACACCGCGTTGCCAGCCCCGGCGGCGGCGACGGCGACGAATGGAACGGTCTAGTTTGCAGGAGGAAGAATAAGCTGGAAGTGTTAAGAAGACATGATGATAATGCACCTTGGAGAGCACGGAGCGCACGGTGGGGGCAAGGAAGGAGGCACGCTCGACAGCCTTGCCGAGACCCACCGAGGTGGCGCAGGAGATGGCCACGGCGCTAGCATACGCCTCTGCAAGAATGGCATGATTAGGTCGAGGGATGATGATGGGCATGACGAGTCGTACTGGCGATGGCGGAGGTGTCGTCGACACCACTGGCGTTGCGGTTGGCGTAGTTGAATCCAGCGTTGTAGCTTTGATTGATCCATTGCCAAAACACAGTGTTGAACAGCTACGACTCGCATGTTGTTCGGACGAATCATGTCAAGGGAACATGACAAGAGTACCGTGGGAGGAGCCAAGATCATGCCCGAGCAAATGGGAATGTTCACCGGCACAAACGCAGGCATGCGGAACAACACGGGCAACTTCTCCCCCGTTTGGGGATGGAACACCGTTTCCACCACTACAGTCCGACATCAACCTGTGTGTGTGTATGCATCCTTGTTGACAAGTCGTTGGCATGAGTAGTAGTCGAGTCCTTGCGGTCGTACGTACCTCGACGGGCTTTCCACAGATCGGCGTCAGGAACTTGACCTGGCGCCAACGTTCCCGTCTTGAAGTTGTCGATGAGTTGTTGGGACTTGGCGATTTCGTCATCGGACAACAAGAACCCGCTAACGTAACGTTGGTTCATGACATGGTGAAGGGTTCATGTAGCTACCTGGGCGAGACGAGCTCATTGAAGTGCTTCCATCGACCGAAGTACGTGCTCTGGTCGTAGCGGGGCTTGTCCAACGTGAACGGAGGCACGGCTTTCGAGTTGGTCGCCATGATGACTTTTGAACCTTCCAATTTGTGAGCTTCCCCTTGAAATCGAAATTGACCAATCACAACGTGTCTTCGTGTTGGCCATATGGACCTGGTTGCATGTCAGGGTACCGCCACCGCCCCATTGTGTTGCTCTGACGACTGACTCGATGGAGATACCTAAGCCAAGCAAAGGCAGTGAGCGCATCAACAGAGCCATCCCATAGGTACTCCTCACGTGACTTGCATGACAGCCATGGCCATGGCCGCTTGCATTAGTGGCAACAAGTATGGCATATTGCTGCGTACTGTACAGTACTGTACTCCACATACAACAACTCCTTCCAAACTCTCATGGCCATGGCGTAGCAACTAGCGACCTCGTCGCATGCATGTACTACACCTTAACAGTCGCCACTATTAGCCGTAGCTGAAGGCACTTCGCTACTGGTAGAGCCAGGAATGGTGGAAGGCGCACCGCAGGGCTTGGAGTGTAATAATCGACTCGTTATGCAATGAATGACTGACTACATTGACATGCCAAAGTATATTCAGTTGCTTTAGTCACATAGGATTGTGCATCGTTGTTCCGTGCGTTTCTATCGAGACCTTAAGTCGACGAGGAGTACCACGGCCAGTTCAAAGCAGAAGCAGATGCTTCGTTGGTGCCGCCGTTGGCTTGGGGGATGCCGACGTAGCCGGAGCGGCGGCGTTGGGTGCGGAGGACTGCAAACACGAGCACGGCCGCCGCCACAAGCGCCGCGGCGGAGCTGGATTCGATCTCGACCCCATTCCAGTAGGATGGCGTCGTGTGGTCGTATACGGCCGTCATGTCGACGGTGGCATAGTTGATGCGCTGCATTGGGTTGTTCAACTTGGCGGCGAGGCGCTTGGCTTGGCAGACAGAGGACGGATTGGACGCCGCGCATTCGATCCCAGCATCCAAGTACGCCTTGGACACGTGGCGAGAGAGGGTCATGAGGGAGCCACCAGTCATGTCGACCGCGTTGTTGGCGGCAAGAACGATCACGGCGTCGCCCGTGGTGACGTTGGCGGTGGTACGGGCGTCGGGGGTAAGAGCTGGGGACTTGGAGGTTTTCGCAAGATTGTCCACTGTGGTAGATGGGGTGGGGGCAACAATCACATCGGTGGTGTTGGTGAAGTTGGATTCCGCCAAGTAGTCCGCCACATCAACGGCCCCAGTTGTGGGCTCGGGGGTGTCTTCTTCAAGATCAGGTTGGTTGGTAGTAGTGGTAGGGGCTACAATAACATCGGTGGTGTTACTGCTGGTGGTAGAGTTATCCGCCAGGTTGTCGACAGTAGGGGCTACGATGACATCGGTGGTGTTGCTGGTGGTGGTATAGTTATCCGCCAGGTTGTCGACAGTAGGGGCTACGATGACATCGGTGGTGTTGCTGGTGGTAGTAGAGTTATCCGCCAGGTTGTCGACAGTAGGGGCAACGATGACACCGGTGGTGTTGCTGCTGGTAGAGTTGTCTGCGATGTGGTCCGCTGCCCGCGTAGTAGTAGGGGCGGCAATGACTTCGGTGGCGTTGGTCGCGTTGGCTTCCGCCTGGTAGTCCGCCACATCAAGGGCCCCGGTAGTGGGTTCGGGAGTCACTTCTTCCAGGTCTGGTTGGTTGGACGTGGGTGCAGGAGCAGTCACAACCGGAGTAGGTGCAGGTGCGTCCGTGATAGGCTCCGCGATTGGATCGTCGGCGATGTCCACCGCGCCTTCGGGGAGGATGCTGAACGACTCAGCGTACCCCACGACGCTCGTGACGACGCCGCCGTGCTTCTTAATGTACTTTTGGGTCCACCCACCGCCGGCCACGCCCACGACCTTGAGCGTGCCGTTGGTCGCGCACGCCTGGGTCGTGGACTTCAGGTCGGCTAGTACCTTGAACGCGTTCGCGACGTTGTTTTCGAAGAGACCTCCGTGGAAGCGCTTTCCCGACCGGATGGACCCGGCAACTTGGACTTGGTGGCGCTCAATGTCGACAGATGCCAGCGCACCACCAGCGTACTTGTCCTTGCCGCGGCTCAGCGGGACGAAGAAGCCCCCGCCACCGGCAATCGCGTCCACGAGCAAGGCGCGGCCACACAGCACCTTGAACTCGGCGTGCGCCCCTCCATCCAAAAACACATACTCACGCTTGTCCACGCAGTCGTCGTCGGGGCGCCACTGGAGCGGCTCGGCCTTCTTGATGTCCTTGGTGGCGTCCGTGGGGTGCTCGATGAAGGACTTGAGCACCTTGAACGCCGAGTGCACGGACAGATCGCCGCAGGATTCACTCCACTCGGCGCCCTCGGTGTGGAGGGTGAAGGACGAGTCGATGGAGAAGTTGATTTCCGTGGCGTCCGAGATCCACTGGGCCAAGCTCGTGACAAACTCGTCCGTGTCGTCGTTCAGTTTGGCGATGTAGCCCTCCGATGAGCCCTTGGACTTCCACTCGGTAGCACCCGAGTCAGATGGTTCGTGGCTGGCCACCGCCAAAGCAGCCATGAGCAAAGTCGTCACCACCTTCATGTTCGGGGGAACTGAATCGCAAATGAAAACGACGCCACATCAAAAGAAAGGCTGCAATCATTCATCATATCCAGATCAAAAGGGTAAAGTACCGTGCACTTGGAAAATGTATGTGGCTACTGACTGGGACCTGTATCGGAACTTGGCGTTGAAAATTCCCATAAAACAGTACGTTGGCTACTGCCAAACAAGGTCAAATGAGTGTTACTGTAACGTTAGTGTTTACCTGCAAGGACAGCGATAACATGACAGTGGTGATGTACATGGTGTTAGCTCGGTGTCACTGTGGCTACTTCGACGTAACGTCAGGTTCTATCCCTTCCAGATATAGCTACTGTACTTGAATAAAGTAATTGGTGGTTAATTTCACTCTAATTAGAGCTGAAATCAGGTTGCTAGTCCTCAACCAATGAATAGTCATGAAATGTGAATCTTAAGTTGTAAAGTTGCAGAACGAGGTCACAGTTAGATGCAAAGCATATCAAGCTGTAGCTTACCGGTACAGTAGAGATAGTCTACTCGGCTAGATCGTCGAAATGTACTCGTTTTGTCAGCTCACGAAGTATCCAATTCTGCCTGCTTTCTCAGCACAATATATTGTCAAGTTTAAAAGTGATTTCTGTTGTCGTTTGATTCAAACCTATTATTCGCCAATCAAAGAATATTTATGTAATTAATGACCAATGAGGATTCAACGTTCCATCTCACGAATAATGGCAACCCGACGCTTCGATGTCGCGGGCAATTTCATCGAGCCCTCGATTGGCGATGACGCTACCACGTCAGGTGACTTGCGGGCGCCGTATGAGATCGCCAGGTTACCTACCATGGAGATGATGCTGAGTGTGCCACCAGAGTTTATCGTTCGACACGTCCACCTGGGTGCAGAAGCCGAGTTGCTGCTGCACATAGGCGACCTTGGAGCAAAGCTGGACAACGTTCTGGAAGTGACCTTGGAGCAGGCAAGCGACTACGCTCGTTGCCATTCCATTTTGAAGGCCTCCGTGCAGTCTTCGATGTCGAACGGGCTCTACGTCTCGGAATCCGTAACTCGGCACCACGCTGCCTTAGGCATCGACGCCACAAACCTCACGCTTCTCGACAGCCATGTCCACGCTGTCCTGGATCAATTGGCCGCAGAGCAAAATAAGTTGCGGCGATTCTTGGCCACGAATCGAATGTTCGTGCACGAGCTCGAGGCCTCGGGCGAGTCTGCCGCGCTGTTGAAGTCCAAAGCCCAAATGTAAGCAGACGTCAGACAATTTCTCGAGAAATTTCTCATGTGACAAGTAGCGTGCAAGTGGAAGAGCTGCTAGCCATGCGCGTCCAGTCCATTCTCACCAGTCACATGCCGCTCTCAGTTTGGAATCCGTTAGAAATGTGGCCAGACTTTGTCTACTCGCGGTACTACCCCTAATATATGCTATGCTTGATACTGTATCCCAGGGGAAAACTATGTAGTAACCGAGTTCTACTATACTTATAGAGATTCCCAGGCGACCCACATCTCAGAGACCGAACACAAGGCGGACGAGTCGTTGTCATCGTCGTCGTCGCTGTTTGCGGCCACGCGACACCGCGACGACGCGCCCTTGTTCGATGACAACCCCATCGTCCATTAGATGAGGGTTCGTTCTGTCTTCGGAACGATCCTTTAGTCAAAACCTTTTTTGATCGTGAATCTTTAAATTTACAGTTAAACATAAAATTTTTTTATTATTTATATTGTCGATTTGATACAAATTTGGGGAGGGGGTGCAATCGAATCGCGCCGACTAAACCAATCCACAATCGATCTGATTGGTTGAATTTCATTCAGACGGTTTTGATTGGTTAATAATTTTGAGCTCGTCTAAAGTAGCCAATCAAATCGATTTAAATTCCAACGAGAAACCACGCCACAACACGAAATTTCACTCGAAAGCACAATATTTTTCGACATACTTTTTCGAACTAGGTTGTGGACATTTCGTTGTGGTTACGCTGTGGGCGGGTGCTTCTTGCCCAACTGTGCTTGCATGTACAGCAGCATGTTCTTGCGCTCTTGGCTCTACGACCGTCATGTGAATAGTTATATAGTACTTCGTCGATGAAACACATATTAAAATAACACCAACAACGAGGCAGTAAGTATACTACTATTACTACATATACCTTCTTGGCTTCGTTGGTTTGCCACAGCTTTTGCTTGTGTTCCGTGCATGTGGTTGTGGCCGCGTTCAACTGCTCTTGCAACGCCCAGCATTGCCGCTGCCACGTTTCCGTCTCTTCGATTTGACTAACAGGTTCAACGAAATGTTACCCATCTACTAGTACTATATACTAGGTACTACGTAGTAGTAGTAACCATCATCTACTAACACTAACCAGTGCAAATTGAACTTACATTTCAAGGAGCCGACGCATCTCCAGCGCTGCTTGCTGGGCACTGGCCATTTCGACCTTGGAATGGGTGTTCGTGTGGACGTAGGCGTCGACTGCGATGGGGAATTAGCATTCAATTCCGACAGCCACAACATTAGCATAGGGGGATAGGTGCAGTACATGTGGCTTTGAGTACGTCGAGCTCGTCTTGGACACGCTTTTGGGCGTTCTTGGCCACGTTTATCTCTTCTTGGTGGGACGCTGCATGCAGTGTCATCGTCTGCACCGACTCGCGCACGCGGGCCAGCGCTTTCTATTTCGAGGATATATCGTTCAACTTTGCATACCCAGCGATATCTGGCTAACCGTTTTCTCCTCAACTTCGACCCGCAGCTGCGCTTGGCTGTCCAGTGCTACCTACATATATATCATTCCAAGAGTAAAAATAATAATGGATGGATGGACTGGAGATGGTCATGTCGCCACCACTTACAGTCAAGTCTGCTTGCAACTCCATGAGCAGCACATGCGACACCTCCAGCGACGTCGCGTGCTCAGGTGTCCGCCCTACAACTCGATTGATTGATCTTCTCGTGTGGAACTAGAGCAACGCACCCACGTGAATGCCCAGCGTGTGCAAGTCCTGCGCCAGCATGGATCCCCCCACGACATCGTAGAGCTGCCGCAGCCCTTCGGGCGTGACGCCCACTTGCATGCCACCGCCGCCTTCGACGAACCTCACGGGCCGCACCGACAGCCGATGGGACTCGAGCAGTTGGTCAAACGTCTCAGGCGTGTACGTGGTATGATGCCCCAGCGCCGCCTTCGAACAAAAACCAATGCATGAAACAATCGCATACTATGATCCTTACTTTGAGTTTGTTCATTTCGGCCATGGAGAGCACGCCATCGCCGTCCAAGTCGAAGCGGTGGTGCATGGCTTTCACCGCCAACAGCGTCGACGACGTCGGTTCGGACGCTACTGACTGGGTGGTCAATGGGTCGCGCTTGTCTTTGGCCCACTCGACTAGCCGAACGATCTCGTGCTGAAGGACATGCAAACTCTGCTCATGTTCCTTCACATTCATGTCGGCCGCGTGGAGGGCGATCCCTTGTGCATACACGGTGGCTTCGAGCTGCTGCTGCTTGTCCACCATGCTCTCGTTCGCGTTGTACAGCTCGTCCAACGGCGTAAAGTTGCGGCAGCCTTTCTACAACCAGCACCACCACCACCCACCAATGATGAGGATATCTCGTCAATCGATTGTAATATTACCCAACAAAACGCGGCGAGGTCCTTGGACCCACATTCCCGACAGCCCAACGCATGGGGCGCCGGGGGGTCGAACTTGAGCGTTTCGCGCACGTCGAGCTTGGATTGCCTGCAAGTATCAACATATACTTTAGTATGACATAACACTTGAGCAGTGGCCCTTTCGTACAACTTGGCAATGTCGCTGTGCGTGTTTTCCCAAAGCGTGGCGTCGTCTACTTCTGGTTCCGACGGAGACCTGCCCAGCAGTGTATGTATATATGTATGTATGTATTAGTGTATTGTATGTATTCGTCAAGAGAAGTCGACGCAGTAGCACGCACCAAGACACGAGGGACGGCGACCGCGGGTGGTGGGAGCTTCGGCGGCGATGGGGCGATCTCGACATGGACGACCGTCGGCTAGTTGGACTAGAAATCGAATGTCAATAGACATTGTCAAATGAAGCGAGCGAACCTGGGCGAGGATGGAGGGGGGCCCGTGGAGTTGGAGGGAGAGTGCGCTTGGTTGTAAAGGTCCAGAAGGTGGGTACTGCATCGACAAAGCGGTGATCGAGGCGAAGAAGGAGCGGTGGAGAAATTGGATGTGGCAGCTGCGACCGCCGCGTCCATGTCATCCTTCTTGGCACGCTGGAGGACTAGCGCCAGGGTGCTCACAGGTGGCTCGACGACGGCACAGGACGAAGTGGGCTTTCTACCACCATAGTTAGTCGTTGTCGTTTTGAGAGGAAAAATACTTTTTCGGGCGAAACTTGGGCACCGGGGGCTTCCGAGTCGTGATGGCCCCGCTGCTACTTCGCGACCCGAACAAGGCACTGTCCCGCGTCGACCCCGCCGCCGCCATCCGAGGCATTGCAAATAATTCAACCGTTTCAATTGTCGAATTGTGTAACCGCCATCGAAGGTTAGTTCGAACTCTGATCTGCCACGTCATAGTTCGTGTTGGTCCGCATGATACATCGTAGCAGTCACAGTCGAGCTATTTTGTCCCTCTCGAATGACACAAGTTACGTAGCTGACCAATTTTGAATTCGGCATCCCGGTTGTTCCTTACTTGACAGAGTGGCTATATGAGCCTTGACGGCGCCAACGTTTTGGAGGTTAACGGCAAATGATGAGTGATTTCTAGATGCAGCTGTGAGTGGCTACTGTATGGTTATACTAGTATGTATGTGGACTGGGAGTGGCTAGGGACTTTAGCAAATCATCCCCGCAAAGGGTTGGGACGATATTCCCACCTATACGTACTGTATGACCTTATAACGTTAATCTCGAACGCAAAGTACACTAGTCCCGTACGATGCTGCGATATAGCGACGTCACACGGAATAAGGTCATTTTGCTAGGAGGAAATGTGGTTTGACCTTGCATTTGAGGAATACCTTTGTTTGCATTAGTATGCATGTAAAACGTACAAGACTGAGTACATTGCTTGGATGGTTCTGGTGACGCCATTGGATGTTTGTAACCTTTCGGTGCAAGCCCAAAGGTAGCGCCATAATGCCGTAAACAAAGCGATCGACTGACTTGTCCGGGGGTTGGACACTGGGCCATCACCTCCTCCCAGACTCCTAGCAGTACACTTCTCCAAGTGCAATTGGCCCTCTTGGACGACTGCACTCTCTAAACATCGGCATGTTCTGCGTAGTTTACAGTTAGTTCGCTTGTTTTGAATGACGCTGTCATTTCATCCTACATCCATCACGTACCCAAATTGCTGGCATTTTCTCCGCCACGTGCCCTTTCGCTTCGTGTTGCGATCTTTGTCCATATCCGGAACATATGTTAACTATTATCCGGATGATTGACGATGCTTTATTCTAGCACCGTTGAGAAATCCACCCTTGGAATGGACGACTGGAGCAACGAACTCAGCAACGAGATCGCGGCGCTAGCTGGGGGGCAGGCGCTAGAGGAACGGCAAAGTTCGTTGCAGAAACGTTCGGCAGAGACGTGGGCTGAAGAAGAAGCGAACCGAAAGCGAGCCAAGAGCGCCATGGACCACGCCGCGCACCCGAATTCGTTTGCATCGTTGTCCGACCACCTGTCGTCCATGCAGAACTGCGGCAACGACATCGACAACACAACGCATCAAGATGCAATGGATACCGCCATCGCCGTGCCCGTGCCGACGCGTGTGCCTGCGCGAAAGAGCAGCGCTGACGTGTTTTCTTACCGGGAAGAGCCCGCGACGATGGATCTCATGGGCGACACGGAAGACGTGCAGTTTGCATCGCAGTTGACCAATGCCGCGCTCAACCTAACCGAGACTCAGCCGGAATCGGCGTCGGCCGTGTACAAGCGCATCAAGCTGCACCCGCACGTGATCGAGAACATCTCACCCGAGTTCCACGCGAATCTGGTGCAGCTCAACATGGCCGAGTTTGAGATCGGGTACGATCGTTCTCGTCTATATCTACATGCTTGACGACGGGGAATCGGTAGCCCCTTGTGTCCGGTCGTGACCCTTCGCCGGGAAACGTTTGTCAAGGCCGCCAAGGGATGCCGCGAGCAGCACTCATTCCGCATCACGAAAATGAGCAAAGATCACGTGGCGTTCGAGCTGCTGCAAGAGCCGGGGGGCCGCTACCAAGTGTACGCCGTGGACAAGAACAGTGTCAACGGCACCAAAGTGGACGGCGAAGTCATCCGTACTGTATCCCATATTTGAAATGGCATACATATATTGATGCGATGGATTGCGTAGCTCGAGGGGGAAAGATGCTGCTTAGACACAACCAGTGCGTGACCATCCTCAGCTCCACGGCAGGAACGGTCCTCCTCGGGTAGGTACAGTACAGGCTGTAGGTTATGACGTGGCGCCCTGAGAGCGCAGAGGTACATGTCTACATCTCATGGAGAGAACCATAGGTACATTGTTGAGGACCCGCATGTGCTTATGGCCCAACAGATCGCCCCCACCGGCCAGCCTGGCACTGCGCCGCTCCCGACCATCCATTCGCTGGAAAATGTGCTCGTACGTCGGAACGTGACATGGATGTTGTATGTCGGAATGAACGGTGGTGCGTAGGGCGTCTTGTTTGCCGCGCCGTTGGTGGGCAAGGACCACCAAGGCAATTGCCATCCCCTCGACGTACGACCGTTCCTGTTTGAAAAAATGGATATATATATCCTAAAATGATATAATGATATATATACATCCAAAATGATGTAATGATATATATACGTCTAAAATGATATATATATATACATACAAAAATGATATAATGATATATACATCCAAAAATGATATAATGATACAGTATATATATCCAAAATGATATATACAATGATATATATATCCTAAAACGATATAATGATACATATATATATATATATATATATCACTTTCCATGTGATATGTGGCGCGAGTGTAGGAGCTGGACCTGGCCAAGGAGTACAACAACTTGAAAGACGCGCTGATCGATGCATCCAAACGAATGGTATGTACACCAACCACATGGTTTTCGCCATGTCTGAATCGATATAAAGATCATACAACACATGGTTTTCGCCATGTCTGAATCGATATAAAATACAACTTGAACGAAACAATGTATTGTAGCGCCTAAAGCCGTCCGACCCCACCGGTACTTGGTCTCACTATGACTTGGATATGTCATGATTCGGATGTGTTTGCAGTGACTGAAGTGTCGCGGGAAGTGACGTTATCAGTGCACTTTGCCACGTCCGACAGCCTCCGGTCGCTTATGACACTTGGCTGCCGCGCGTTCCACTTCTCCGGCCACGGCAGTCCGCAGCATCTGTACTTTGAGGACGGCCTCGGCACTGTCCACCCGATTCCTATCCACGACCTCAAGAACCTCTGTGTGTCCCACAACTCCCCACTGCGTCTCGTGGTCGTGCAGGCGTGCTACTCGCACAACGTCGGTGCGTCCGTCTGTTGATGTCACTACATGTGGAGTGTATGTCACTAAATATGTCACTGTAGCCACCGCCTTCTTGGCGTGCGGCATTCCCCACGTGATTGCGATCAAATTCGACCAAAAGATTGAAGACGTGGCGTCGTCTGTGTTTACCAAGTGCGACGGAGTATATATATATACTAGTATTTATCTGTGAAATAGTATTCATATTATGTATTGATATATATATATCCATGAAATAGTATTATTATTAATATACAGTATATACCTACCGGTAGGGCGTTTTACACGGCGCTGGCCACGGGCCATTCCGTGCACGAGAGCTTCCGCATCGGCCAAGAAGCCGTCCGGTCGAGTCCGCGGCTGGCGCAGGCGGCGGAGGTACACAGTCAATCCATCTCGACTTTGCCTTTTAATATTAACTTTGCTTTTTAATATTAACTTTGCCTTTTAATATTAACTTTGCCCTCTAATATTAACTTTGCCCTCTAATATTAACTTTGCCCTTTAATATTGACTTTGCCCTGTTTATAATATATGCCCAAGTAGGCCGCGAGCAAGTTTGAACTCCTTCCCGACGGCGCCGACCACTCGGAAGTGATTTTCCCGACGCTGGACGTGCCAACAAGTGCCGCGCCAACGGTGGCGGCCACCCCCACGCGGTTCCCCGTGCTCTGGGGCAGCACCAAACTGCCCGCGGGATGTTCGGTATGTTCACTAGGACGAGCCCACAATATATATATATATATAGCCATGTTTTTTTTTCTTTTGTAGCACTTTTGCCACCGCACCATTGAACAATACCAGGTACTTTTAAAAGCAACAGATATATATATTTCTAACAGACTGTCGAATGAATCTAGGTGATTCACGAACTGGTCAAAGAGCAACCGAGCGTCAGTCGGTATGTGTGGATCTCTGGTCCCGACGGCGTCGGTACGTACGAGGCTCAATATATAGTAGTACTAGCCATACATGTCGACTAGTACTACTGGACTTTTGACGGCGAGTAGGAAAAACCCAGCTCGCGTACGCGTGCTGTCGATACATGTACCCCCGTCGGTACTTTGCCGGCGGCATCCGGTTCATTCACGTGAATCAGGTCGCGGCGACTCGGGGGGGTCTGAAGGACCAGCAGCATGTGCTCACATCTATTCGTTTGCAAATCGACGAATTTGTCCGGGAGACCGAGCACGGCTCGTATGAACGACAGCCTTTAACGTCGTCTTTGTTTTACGCTGTTGCCTGTAGGAGCCAAGTGACGGCGGGTACGTTGAAGCGCATGCTGGTGGTGCTGGATGAATGCGACACGGTGCTGTCGACGGACGCCGACCAGCGCGCGTTTGCGAGTGTCGTGCACAACGTCCTGACCAACCACTTTGCTCTCAAGTTGATTATCACGGCGAGAACCACCATCGTGTCGGACCGCCTGCAGACCCACGGCGGGAGCCAGTTCCGCCTCACGAGTTTGAGTCCGACCAAGTCGGCCGACCTCCTGCGCCGCCACGTCACGCGCAAACTGAGTCTCCACGACGTGCAGCTGTCGCCGCTGGCCAAGACTCTGCAGCACTCGAACCCCGTCGAGAACCTCACGAGGGTCCTCGCGGCCCACCCGCTCGTCGCACGGACGCATGGCGTGCCCAAGGCCATCGTCCAGGCGGCGGCGCGGATCAACGCGGCGACCGCCACCACCCTCGACCACCTCGCCACCAGTCTGGTGTAGTGGAGTGTTAAGTGTTTGTTATTGAGTTGATGTATTGTATTCTGCCAACTTCGGTTCAACCTCGCCGCGACATTTGATTGGCTACCAAAGAATCCGCAGAAAAGGAGACATGGAAAATAGAAAGAAAATGTTAGCCAATCAGCGACAAGACATTTCAGATTTAAACCAATCAAATGTCGCTGTGAGGTTAATTAGAATATGTAGTACTACTACTTCGAACGTGTGGACATTAATGCGAGTTTTGATTTGGGTGAGGTTTGAAGCTTCATACTGAATCTACAATGTTATGAATTAGCTACAAATGTCCCGATTTTTGGGCGATTTTTAGTGAAACACAAATCTCGCGTCCAAACGTCACTGTAATACTTCAGATTACCACTACTCACTACTTAGTATGTATTAACACTACGTAACTAAACGTTAGTACAAGTAGTAATCGACTACTACTACTTTACAATCCTACTTGAGCTCGGTACGCATGATAAGGAATATTCCCAATCGTTATGAGCGATGGGGACGTCGTCGTCGTGATTGTTTTGATTTTGTTTTTAAAAACAAATGAAAAACCCACAGTCTATTATATATTTTATTTATCTCTAACATTCGACGATATTACTCGTACTGATACATTCGAGTACGCAGTGGCGTCAACTGGGTGGTTGGCCGGATGATGTGGACGGTGGGAGGGCCTGCAGGAACTCGTGCACGTGCTCGGCCACTTCCCAGTGCCGTTCTTGGTGGACGATGTGGCCGGCATCCGCGACGACTTTGACCGTTAGCTGGGGTTTGATCTTGTCCTTAATCACCTGCACATTCACACGCACACCTTTGTTTCTTCCCTCGGTTTAACGACAGGGGGTACCTCGAGGCACGAAATGTCCAGGATTTTGTCTTGGTCCCCCCATACAACCAAGCAGGGGTGAGTGATTTTGGCCAGTTTGTCGTCCAGCACCGACGCGTCGAGGAGGATGTCCCGCATGAGCTTTTCCAGCACGTCGCGCCGTTTTTCCTACCGCAAGTGTCAGTCGTGGGGAAATTTCCCCTTTCGTACCACTTCCCGAACGATAAAGTTGAGGATAAATCCCGGGATGTACCGCTGGCGGTGGGCCATGTACCCTTGCAACCGGGAAAAATCCTCGGGTTTCTCCACGCGCATGTGGTTTTCGCCCGTTTGTTCGTACACGAGGAACATGGGGCTCTTCTTGGGCATGGTGATCCCCGCCGGACAAATGAGGGTCACGGACGCGATCGCGGCGGGGTACTTGGCTGCGAAGACGCCGCTGATCATGCCGCCCATGCTGCACCCGACCAAGTGGATCGTCTGCGACGGACCCAACACTTGCGCGAGGAACGCGAAGAGCCGGTCGGCTTGCTCTTCGGCTCGGAAACTGTCCATATCCGACGACGTGTCGCCGTGGCCCGGCAGATCTGGCATGATGACGCGATAATCGTTGAAAAGCGGACGGACCGATCGAACCATGGACTCCTTGACACTCGAGAAACCATGCAGCACCACCACGACCTCGGTTGTCTCGCGATGCGAGTCCAAGTACGTCCATGTGATGTCGCTCACCGTCGCCTCTTCTAGAATCAGGCCGCAGTACCATCGTACCACGGCAAAGCTACATGCAGATCGGCTGTCAGTCCCTCGAAGAGGCATCATCTAGCGACGTACAAGGTGTCCAGCACCACCCGCATGTTGTTACTGTAGGTATGAAACGGACTTCGGTGGTGCTCAGATCAAATTCGGACGAGAATATAGAAGGCAAAAAATAAGAATCGCTTTTGGTTCCGAACGTTGAATTTTTGATACGTTTTGGTGAATTTTCACTGAAATATTAGTAAAAAACCAAATATTTGTCAAGAATTCCGAAGAAAATTGATCTTACAGTTTCTGTAGACGAGATCGATATCTTCATGACCACATTGAAGAAATAATGTGGGCACACCCCCAGGTCGAGAGCGGCAATTCGGCGGGCTGCCGCGCGGCCCATTCATGCGATTACATCGAAAAGGACGAAGCGTTGTACCTCTTTGGAGGGTGGAGCGGAAAAACGGCGCTGAACGATGTGTGGCGGTTCGACTTGACCACGCTGGAGTGGCGACTCGTCCATGGTGACGGCAAGCAGCCGCGCCCGCGCAACAACCACGCGTCGGCCGTCGTGGATCGAAAGATCTACATCCATGGAGGCCACGATGGAAGTACATGGCTATCAGACTTCTACGTGTTCGACACGGAAACCTCGACGTGGGCTGAAGTGGTACGTCCATGGCACTCGAGGCCTTGTGGCTCATGTATTTGTCTGCAGACCACGTCCGGCGTAGGCCCCAGTGCGCGTGCGTGCCATACCATGTCGAAAGTCGGCGGCAAGTTGTTTGTGTTTGGGGGCTTTGACGGCGCACACTGCTTCAACGACGTGGACATTCTCGACTTGGGTAAAAACAACTACAGTAGCACGACCACCCATGCGATACAGTATCCCTACCACCAACGTTCCCGTCATCATACATGGCCTTATCATAGACACGTTCACTTGGATCCACCCAATCGTACATGGCTACCATCCTGCCCCGCGGAATGCGCACACCATGTCCATCGTCGGGTCGTCGCTGTTTATGTTTGGCGGACACTCTGGCGCAAAGCACCTGCGGGACCTGTACCAGTTCCACACAGGTAGATAGATGGCCTATCGTCGCTTGCCGTGACCATGTCCATGTAGACACGTTGACATGGACGCACTTGGCTTCCGTGGACGGAATGTTTCCGCCGGGGCTGCGTGGCCATACTGCTAACGTCAAACTGCCCAAAGTCTACTTCTTTGGGGGGTACGATGGCCGCGGCCGGTCGAATGAGCTGTACATCCTCAACACGCGTACGTCAGTTCACGCTCTCGTATAGATGGGATAGCTCATGGAAATACTGTGTAGAGGACATGAAGTGGGAACGGCCGCCAGACTCGGTCCATGTAGACGCGCCGTCGGGACGGCAGCGCCATAGCGCATGCTTGGTGCATTCAAAGGTTGGCTATGACGTGGCGTCACCACTGATGTTTCGGCTCAAGTTGAAGTAGATGTACATCGTGGGCGGGTTTGATGGGTTCAAGTGGCTCGATGACACACACGTGCTGGACATTTGCCGCATTGAAGAGCATGCGATCACGATGACGACGCAGCGTCAGCTGGTGTCGCAGTACCGAGAGTTGCTGCTCCACCAGGACGCCACGTATAGTGACATTACGTTTCTGGTGATAGCCTCTCTATCGTTATAATATCGAGTCTCACGGGTGGTTGACAGGTGCAAGACAAGCCGATTGTGGCCCACAAGGCCATTGTGGCTGCACAATCGGAGCATTTTCGTCGCATGTTCTCCAGCGGCATGAAGGAATCGCATCAGCCGACGGTGGTCATCTCGGAGTGGACCCATCGGGCGTTCTTTCACATGCTGGTATTGCTGGGCTTGCAGTCAATATTTAGATGTTTTTGCTGCTTCAAGACATGTATCGGTCGATTTGATTGACTTGGCTCCTTGTCCACCAAGGGTCGTGAGCTTTTTGTTGCGTTTAGTATCCGTAAGCTCTGTGTGCTGACGCTGACGCTGACGGTGCCACGCCCACAGTGTGGCCCGTGGAATTCCATTCAGTACACAGAACTTACGGGCACTAAAACCGCTGTCCTTGAATTGGGCTAGCAGCAACCGCTTCTCGCCGATGGTGTATGACTGTTGTCGTTGCGTTGGCATTGAATGGGCGAAGATGTCGAGTTTGAATTTTGAAATCCTCAAACATGGTGTGTCGTGATTGGCTCAGTCGAAATTAATTCAGTTTGGGAAGTAGGCGAATTTTCAATTAAAATAGATCGATTTATGGAGGTGGCCAAGTTTTTTGGGGGGCCGGCTTTCTCCCCGGTTCATTGTACACTATTTGAAGGCATACGTTTGCACGTGTTTGATTGGCCACTTGAAAGAAATGTTCTGGTTTTTGATTGGTCGGCCTATGGTCTGTCGATATTTGGTTCTGCCCCCCACTACTTTATATTCGAATCGAATTGACAAGAATGTATATTCGAAATGACAATCATGAATACGGTTCGCCTGATATTGCACTCATGACATGGATGGACGCCAGGAGTTCTTGTACACGGGATACATTCAAGACTTGACTGTGGACACCGCCCTGGAGCTGTTGGGCGTGGCCGATCACTATGCATTGCAGGTACATACAGTAGCAACTCCATTGAAGCCAAGCCGTCGTCCATAATGATGATTCGTTGTTGGTGCTGATGGCTGCAAATAGGATTTGTCGATGTTGTGCGACAACTTTCTCGCCCACAAACTCGATACGGAGACTGTGTGCCACGTGTTGATTGCCGCCACCCATTTCCAAGTGAGTACTACTTGCTGGCGAATATGGTTGACCCTACAGTACCGTTGTGTAGGTGGACAAGTTGAAGACCACGTGCATGCGCTTCCTGCAAGCTCATTTTCACCAAGTGGTGTCGACGAAAGGCTTTGAAGAGCTGGGCGAGGTCCCGGCGCTGCTGCTGGAAGTCACGCGAGTGTCCATGCTGTCGAGTCAAAAGCACTACAAACCTTATAAAACCGGATAAATAATGTAACAATAGTAATGAATAACGTACGTGCTTGTTGTCCATTAGGACGGTTGGTCGGGGAACATTTTACTTCGTGTCCGAGTCCCTTTATGTTTGTACGAGGGATTCTCAAAATATAATATATTAAATATATTATTTGTTCCAACGAAAAATAGATTATTTTGCGCAACAACCAAAATAGATAAGTTAACTTATCTTTTCCCAAGGTCAGAAAAAATAGATAACTACCGTATACCTTATGGATCAGTACCCACGATTTTGCCTTATCGAGTTGCACTCAAATTGCTGTATGGTGTCAATAAAGTACGATTTGGTACCTTGAAAGGCTGTACCCAAGTCGCTTTGTATTGGTCAAAAATGTCGAATTATGTCATTCTAGCCAATCAAACAAGTCGAAGTAGTAGAAGTAACCAATCCGAACGCATTGGAAAGAAATCAGACCACCTTATTGAGTTGTATTGAGTTGTACTATTACGTACTGATCCATAACGTATACGGTATAACGGCAAAATAAAAAATAATCTACTCCGAATGACAGGATAATTCTCAATACAGTTCAAACTCTGTATTTGAATGTAACCATAGACTGACCAACCACGAAACTTGTTTGACGAAGCTATATTGCTCGACCCAAATGCCAACTCTGGTATACCATCCAGTCTCCTATTGTGGGTTATTTCGACTTCGAAATTGTGGTGACCAAGTTTTGAACCAATCAGTGAGCGTTATGAGTGATGGACATTTGTGAGTGAGATCGGCTGGGTCCTCAAGGAGCACAAACGTAGTCGTCCCATCAGTCCAAGTACCCCCCTCCCCCATGCGATAACTACCGCCGTTCTGACGGCTAAACACTGCCTTTTCATCTCAATTCCTTAAGTTTCCGTGTTTTACCTGGTCGTGCACATTGGGGCCCGGCGCCCCGACTGGCCAATTGACACCCCGACTGGCCAATTGACAAACCCGGCTGCCACGGGCAACCAGAAAGCTATGTCGGCGGGCAGCCTTCGTGTAGCTACTTACATGCAGGAGCATCCCGACGACGCATCGGATATACGTGATGAGCTCAAGTTTTGGAACGAAGTCATGGACCACCAAATACCCATGACCAAGGAACGGGTCGAGGCAACGTTGCCGTTTCTAACGGCTCTCGAATGGGGTCCTCTGTTTACCAACACGAGCCCAATCATGTGTAGTATTTAATGGTATAGGTAACCACATTGGAATTGGATCTGTCAAGAAGGGGCACTTTGGCCTTTTTCGCCGAGGTTCGGTCACTTACGGATAATATCCGGTCATCCGGAATTATCCGGTGTTCTCTTTCTGTAGAAACCGGACTGTTTATGCCCAATCATAGGTCAGCTAAACAGTCCGTTAATGATCATCTTTGGTTTTGCCCTCGACCACACAAGTGTTCTTCGTCGTCGCTCCTCCCCAGTGCTACCTCTTTATCGTCCCTCTTGACAGGTTATGAGCCTCCTCCCTTCCTCTGTGCAGCCCTTCGTGGGCACCCCCCTCGACGACCTACGGCCTCTGGCCTACACCTTGTGGAAGACGGACTTCTTGTCCCAAGCGACCTCCCGCGACCTTGCTGAGTTCTACTCTACAAAGGACTATGTCCCTCAAGGCAACCGCATTGATGCGCTCAACATCAGCAAGATGTACCTCGTACTCGATCAAGTCGAGCACTCTGAGCTCTATGTTATCGACCCGACTCTGTCGGAGACCGATCGGCGCGTCTCGCTGAGATCAAGGCGCACACCACCGCAATCCAACGCGAGGTCATTTCCCGTGAGGCGACGAAGAAACTGGCGAATCAACGCTCTGCGGCGCACACCTTCTTGGTCTCAGCCATTTCTACGAACCTCCGGCGCCTCTATCAGGCCACTACGTGTCCGTTCGAGCTCTTTGAGCACATCAAGACTCGTTTCGAGTCGAACCCCATGGACAACAACCCCACGGTCATTGCCAGCTATCTACGCACTCTCAAGTTCACCGATGAGATTTGCATTGACACACTCTCCGTGGAGCTTATTGACTTGGTCAAGCGCTACCGTGTGTCTTTGACGCCGCCGTCGTTCAATCCTCTGGATCCATCGGCGATCTCGTCCGTCGACTACCACAACCATATCTGGAATTACTACACTCTGTGTGCGATGTCCGACATCTTTATTGGTGACAAGGAATTATGGGAAGTCGTGACCAACTCAGTGGCCACCGCGCGCGCCGCCAACCAGTCCGTGTGTCGTTGCTGACGTTTGGGCCTCTCTTCGGCGTATTATTACGAACCGCCAGCAACGAGCTTCTGCTCTGGGTGACAACGGCTCTGCCGCTACCCTCCAAACGCGAACCCAGCTCGCAGCTGTCACGCATGCCGTTGCGGCTCCTGCGCCACCACCTCAAGCGATTACGCAAGCCGATGGCACTGTTCATGTTATGAACGCCTTTACTATTCCGAGCTATGCTCACCGTGATTGTATCAATCACCCCGGCAAGTCCTGCTTCTACTGCGGCGTTACCAATCACACGCTTCCTGCGTGCCCTACCCTAAAGTCGGACTATGCCCGCAACTCTATGCGTCCTGGTTTTGACCGCGCCGTCTTTGACAAACATGGCTCTGCCTCCCAGAAGAAGCGCAAACGCGATTATGTCGCTCCGTCGCGTCCTATCCAACGTCCTCGTGATGACCGCGATGATCGCGATGGCCCTAGTGGCAACCAGGGTTCTAATAGCCACCACGGATGGGGACCTAGTTCCTCTAGTGGTCCTGGAAATGGCGGGTGGAACAACAATCGTGGCAACAGCCGTGACAAAAATCGCGACCGCGATCGCAGCCGTGATCGACAACGCGACCAAGGCTACGGCCGCACTCATCGCGGAGGTCTTTATGACCAGGCTGGCTCTGCTGCTCGTACAGCCGCTCGTCCATTTATCCATCAAGGCAATCGCCTCAATGGCTTTGCCAACACCCACATCTTATC